TACATGACTGTGCAGCAAATTACAGCTTCGTTAGGGAACTGTAGATGAGAAGATGGTAGGAAGCTGGATATTGCAAATCTGTCAGTTCTTTCATAATTAAGCTTGTTGTAGACATTTCTTAAATGTGAAGATCTGTTGTGAATACTTAGGTTGACAAAAGTTAATTTTCTGCTTAAGTTTGTAAAACTCTAATACAAATGTTGCTTATAGCCTTTAATAGAAAGATTTATGAAAGAAATGCACTTTATAAAAGATGACTGGGGCCCGGCGCGGTGGCGCAAGTGGTTAAGGTCCTCGCCTTGCACGCCCGGGATCCCATATGGGCGCCGGTTCTAATCCCGGCAGCCCCGCTTCCCTTCCAGCTCCCTGCCTGTGGCCCGGGAAAGCAGTCGAGGACTGCCCAAAGCTTTGGGACCCTGCACCCGCGTGGGAGACCCGGAAGAGGCTCCTGGCTTCGGATCGGCATAGCATCGGCCCGTTGCGCTCACTTGGGGAGTGAATCATCAGACAGAAGATCTTCCTCTCTGTCTCTCCTCTCTGTCTATCCGCCTTTCCAATGAAAAAATAATAAAAAAATAAATCTTAAAAAAAAAAAAAAAGATGACTGGAGTATTATGCTGCTGTTGGCTGAACTGTAAACTTGGTACTGAGTGCTATTCCACATGTCGGGTGCACATGCCATTTATGCCTTGTGTTTTGTTGTTTATGACTTTATGTCTTTGTTGACAAAGAGGGAGAGATTTTTGTATGCACTGGTTCACTCCCCAGATGGTCACAATGACCAGCACTGGGCCAGAGGTAAAGCCAGGAGCTTCATCTGGGTCATGTGCATGGGTGACAAGGCCCAAGTAGTTGGACCATCTGCTGCTGCTTTTCCCATGCCATTAACAGGGGGTGGATTGGGAGTAGAGTGGTTGGGACATGAATGGTCTTCCACATGGCCATGGCTCCTGCCCCATGATGTGTTTATTTGGTTCAGAATTTTACTCTTGCTTACCTCAAGATTTCTGAAACTTTTTAAAAAAAGATTTATATATATATTTTTATTACAAAGTCAGATATACAGAAAGGAGGAGAGACAGAGGAAGATCTTCCGTCTGATAACTCACTCCCCAAGTGACTGCAACGGCCAGTGCTGCGCCAATCCGAAGCCGGGAACCAGGAACCTCCTCTGGGTCTCCCACATGGGTGCAGGGTTCTAAAGTCTTGGGCCATCCTCAACTGCTTTCCCAGGCCACAAGCAGGGAGCTGGATGGGAAGTGGAGCTGCTGGGATTAGAACCGGCATCCAGATGGGATCCCAGTGCATTCAAGGGGAGGACTTTAGCTGCTAGGCCACACCGCCGGCCCGATTTCTGAAACTTCTTGAAAGACTGTCCCTGAGACTGCAAATCCTAATCTGAAGAACTGTGCATCGAAGTATCTGAATGCTTGATCCAGCATAATATATCCTTTTGTATTTTCAGTTAGTCTTGCTCTACCCATTTCCAGTGTATGTGATATTAGATAGCCACAATACCATTAAATAATACAACAGTTACACAATATAAACTGAATAGGTGCATATGCTTTGCTACTAGCTCTTTATTCTTATCTATGCAAATAAAATGTGGCCAGTGATTGGTGACTGACTATGCTTACTTAGCAAAGTGCGTAGTTACGATGCTTCTTTGTTTCCCAGAGATTGAATTCATGTGATGGTTTACATGGTGGATAATCAAAAAGGAATTGGTCAGCAAAGAAATGAAAAGTGATAATACTGCAAGTAAAATTCAGTGTGATCAGAGAGAATTGAATATACTTACAGCAAAGATAGGCTGATGCTTAGGCCTTCATGAAGCTACAGTATGAATCAGTGAATGTCTCATGGCTATAAAAGAAGGTAAAGCTGTTTCTACATCTTGTAGTTTAAATTGCACTGGGACTAAAATATCACTTTTGGTTGTAATGAAGTGTTCACTTTCACTTTCACTTTGGATTAAACGAACCAAACAGCCAACATTTGGGACTAAACTCTCACATTACTTGTTACAACTGTAAGACTGAAAAACATTTTGCAGCCACTGGTATGTCAGAAGGCAGGTATTGGCAGAAGTCAGGATGAATTGATTCATGTTTCACTTTCTGGTGGAGCTGCACGTTCAGAGAAGGATGGTCCATGAAATTTGTACCCAGATGCCAAGCCACAGGCTGTCCTTGCTTTGCCAGTCATGTGAGGATGTGTTGTGGAGAGATCTGCAGGATTTGGATGGAGTGTTGTGGAAAACAGCTGATTCTGGGCATGCTGGCACTCTGCTATTCAACAAGTGGCTGCTGTAATGCAACCAGGGAATCCTAGCTAGGGTGAAGCTGTCGGTGTCAATGAGGAAAGTCAGATGTACTGAGAGAAGGAGAGACCGAGATCCTCTGTCTGCTGAATTACTTCCCAAGTGGCCACAGCGGCTGGAGCTGAGCTGATCTGAAGCCAGGAGCCCAGAGCCTCTTCCCAGTCCCTCTCACGCAGGTGCAGGGTCGCAAGGCTTTGGGCTGTCCTCAGTTGCTTTCCTAGGCCACAAGCAGGGAGCTGGTTGGGAAGCGGGGCTGCAGTGATTACAACCGGCACCTATATTGGATAATGACACGGCACCTATATTGGATAATGACACGTAAAAGGCGAGGGCTTTGGCCGCAAGGCTGTTGTGCTGGGCCCTCTTCCACTGGTTTTATGGTGGCCAAACCAGACTTCCTTGGCCAATAAAAAACCAACTTGGGCTTTTAGTCTAGGGATTAAGCCTCCACTCGGGATGACTATGTCCCATATGGGTTCAACTTTTAGTTCCTTTTGTCAATCTGCTAGTGTGCACTTTGGGTCTCTGTGATACACACTGCCATGCTTATCTTACATCCTTTCGGAGGTTTCAGGAATTTGGGGAGTGAACCAGTTGACAGGAACACTGTTTAGAATCCCTGCCTTAAAAATTACCCCATTGGGCCCTGCACAATAGCCTAGTGGCTAAATCCTTGTCTAGCACCATCGGGGTCCCATATGGATGCCAGCTCGTATCCCTGCTCTGGGTTCAGTCCAGATTTGGTACTTTGCTGGGTAGTTTTTCTGGACTTCTCCATTAAAATAAAACCCCCAAGGCTGACAGATATCCAGATCATGCACTTGTTTGGATCCACAACTCCAGGGGAAGCTTGCAGGCACCAGGGCCTGTGAGTGTGTGCTAAGGGGCCTGGAGCTCAGGGGCTACTAACTGGTTGCAAAGGATCCCAGCTCGGCGAAGTTGGCATCTCTCACGTCACCTGTACCTCATTGTGGAGGCTACATGTCCACGACACACGGTGATCTGGGCCCGAAGGCTTGGTTTTCCTCGAAAGTCTCTAAGCTCAATAGTGTAGGACGCCCTACTACAACTCCTGTGGGCCTCGTAAGAGCTAGATAAGGGAAAAGCCGGGTTGGGATGACTTCTGACTGGTGCAAGCAAAAATTAGAATGGATGAGGGTTGGTTGGGCTTTGCCGCAGCATCAGGCGGCAGAGGCTGGCACTGGGAGCTTAATCTGTCAAGTTAAACTCCAGAACCACCTGGAGAGTGCATAATCAGGGAGTGGGAGTGGCCTAGTAGGGAAATAGTGGGCACCTCCCTCTTGGGTTACCACTCCCACTGGAGAGCACAAAAACCAGGACAGGGGCTGGGGTGGCTAGACAGAAAGGCACCCAACAGCATGTGTGTGGGCTGGATAGTAGGGTTGGTTGGGTTGAACTAGGCTTCAATGCCCATTGACATGTATGAGAGCTGAATGGGATGTGGGACAGACTGGACTAGTCTGCTGCACATACTGGCAAGCACGGGAACCAGGGTAGGGGATGGGCCTGGTGGGGGTTATTGTGGGTCACTCCGACTAGGCTGCAGCTCCCACTGGTTTATGTGAGGGCCGAGTGTGTGCTGGGGTAGAATCAGGCTGGGCTGGAAGACAGGGCTGCAACCAGAACTGACCCATCAACTGCAACCACCAGCTGATTGGGGCGATGGACTGTATTGTGCCTTGTACTTGCAAGTACACACAAGAATCTGGGATCTCTCCAATCGAACTGCCAGACTCAGAACCCTAACCATGAAGAGAAGTGCAGGTTCTATGGTCTGCCATGGAGTGCAAGTGCCAGAGACGAGCCTCCTAAGAGGCTCAGACAAAGCAGTGGAGAGCATAACCAGGTGCACATGGAGGATATGGCAATCCATCGGAACCTGCAGAGGATACCTGGCACCACAACAGAGGACAGAACAAATCAATCAACTACCTCAACCATATGTTGGCAGTGAAAAACTGGGCAAACGGAGACTATGATGGACTATGTCAATCAGTGGATTCTTCAGCAACCTCATCGTGCTTGGATTGGTGAGACTGACAGCAATTCATAACTGCTGAACTACCAAAACCACTTAAGCAAAACTCTCGGAGCATGCCTCACATCAGGGACCTGGGGTGGGTGGGAGACAAGGTGGGGTTTGTCCCTCTATTTCCCCCTTTGCCCCAGATACAGAAAAAAAATTTTAAACAACAGTGTAGGACGCCCAATTGAGCCCTATGAGCCCAGTAGCAAATGGCACTGAGGGCCTCGCAGCCCCATTTTCAAAGTTGGCCGGCGCTAGCAGTGTGGCCAGTGGCTGCAGACGCCCCCTGGACCAGTGCTACGTGGCGTTCCTTCGCTAGCTGGAAACGCCCCGCAGGGCTCTGCCTCCACCCGCGATCCTGCTGGCCACACCAGCACCCTGCCGCCCAGCAGAGAAAGGTCGCCTGCCTGGCGCGTGCGCGCGTCAAACCGCAAAGATCAGCCCCCCCTTGCTCCATTGCCCCTTGCCCCGAGTTCCCAGCGTCGCTCGCCGCGCCGCTCGGCGCTCCCGGAAGTACCCTGGCGGGCCGTGCGGCGGGGAGGGCGGAGCGAGACGTGTACCCGGAAGTGCCGGCCGGCCGGCGGGCGGGGCTGCGGCTGCCACGTTGAAGCGGAACGTGGAGGTGGCCCTGGGCCTCGGGAGGAGGAGCAGCGGCGGATTCCGGCAGATTCGGTCGGGCGCCGCGCTCAGGCCAGGAGTGGTCGCTGAGGGTCTCCGCCGGCTGTGTCCGCCTCTCGTCTCCCGTCGTCTCTGTCCGGCTGTCGAACCTCGAGGTAGAGTCCGAGCCGTTTTCGAAGCCGGGCAGCCCCGGCCTCGGGCACCGCTGTCCCCGCCGGCCTGAGGCCCTGTCTGGAGCTGCCGGTTTGGGGCCCGGCGTCGGGGAGGCGGCTCCTTGGGGGATCGCGCCGGTCCGCGCCCGCTGCTGGCCGGGCCTCCAGCTGGGGACTCGCGGCCGGGCCGGTAACTGCACTTTAATGGGCAGTCAACGGAGACCCTCAGATCCCGGGTGCACAAAGAGGTGCGGTCTCCAAGGGCCAGGGCAGGAAAACAAGCTTGGGATTCCTCTCCTCAGTGTGCTTAGGATTTCGTTCGTTTGAGCTGATGTCATGATGTGAAGGTTCGTAGGTTGGGACTGGAAGCTTCTGCCGTTGACCCGGAGACAATAGTTGCTAGTCGCAGCCTGTACTGGCAAAGAAGTCTCAGGAAGTGTTTTGTGGTACTGCTACTAAGTTGTCCTACTATGAAGTTTAATTATAAGACGGTTGTAAAAAAAAAAAATCAAAGTACTCGCATTGCGTTGGGCGAGAGGGCGTTATAAACTTTTGTGTAAACTCAGAGAAGTAGTCTGTTTGAAGTTGCGAGGATGTGATGGGCTGTGTGACAAATGCGTCCTGTGATCTCAAAAAAACTCCTCGTCACGATCCAGTCTGTAATTGGAGGTTCGCCTTTGGTTTCTAACATCCGGCCTTTGCTGTGCGTCCCGAAGTTGGGGCTGGGCAGTGCAGGCGCTCCCTTTTTCCGTGACTCCTGTCTGCTCTTTCCTCCTTGTCTTGTAATTAACTGAGAAAGTCTTGCACGTTTTAAGAACGTTGGAGAAACGAAATGTTCTTGTAATTGTGAATGTACGTTATAGGTATTGACAGTTTATTTGGGACGTGGGAAATCTGAGTGGCATTTACATACAATACAATATGTATGTGAGCGGCATATACAGTTATTCCATTTTATGTAAACAGATTCCTTTCTGAAAGTAACATAAGACTAGAAAGAAATCTAAACTGTGAAGAGCTGTGAATAATCTTTTGGGATTCTACTCCATTCTGAGAGTAATGAAACATTGAATCATCGTTCTAGCATAACCCATACACGTTTGCTAATTTCATCAGGCTTATAAATCCCAAATGAAAATTTTTTGTCTGGTCACATTGTTGCTAGATTGTTTTTAGAAATGTTACCATTTTAAGGCTAATTGCTGCTCAAAAGATTTTCTGGCCTTACAGATTATTTTGACACCTTTAACCAGGCAGTGTGGACGCTGGTCAGTTTTCTTTGGCTTGCTCTTGGTTGCCTGAGATGTGACTATGATTTTCCCATAACATAAATCTTTTCTGAATTTTTGAAGGGCGCTCGCTATGCATATATTATAAAACGAAATGGTTTGCACCAAAATGTATTTTATCTTCTAATTGCATTTTTTCACAGACTTCTCAAGGCCTCCCAGTTGTTGGTAGGTGTGGGAGTCTGAAGTTCTGATTCTGTTCTCACTTACTGAGGTCAGTGTCAGTTCTGTTAATAGCATTGCTTAAAGGACTCTGGGGTTTTAGTATTACTTTACAAAATTTGTGTTTTGAAAATGAGCAGAAAGAGAAAGTTTTCACTTAATTGAATGCAGCTGTGGACAGAGCCATACCAAATGGAGTTCTAGTATTGAACTTAAGACTTTGAAGATTCGCTGGCATAGACATGCTGCACTGTGACTCCTGTAATAGTAACCATTATGGGCCACAAACATGTGCCATGTAATTATTCCTTTTTAAAAATTTATTTATTTTTTATTGGGAAGTCAGAGTTACAGAGAGAAGGAGAGGCAGAGAGGAAGATACTGCATCTGGTTCACTCCCCAAGTGACTGTAATGCCCTTAACTGAGTTGCTCCCAAGTTAAGAGCTTCTTTTGGGTCTCCCCTGCGGGTGCAGGGTCCCAAGGCTTTGAGCTGTCCTTGATTGCTTTCCCAGGCCACCAACAGGAAGCTGGAGGGGAAGTGGAGCATCAGGGATATGAACTGTATTTGATCCCAGCGGCTGCATGGTGAGGACTTTAGTCACTAGGTTACCACACGGGGCCTCCACATAATTTTTCTAAGCACTCTGAGTAACACATTATCCAATTCCTACAGCTCTGTGTTGTAGATAGGGTTGTTGCCTGTGTTTTACTGAGGATGGAGCGGAGACGCAGAAAGCTGGAGTCTTATGATGAGTTGGTATTCCGAGCCAGGGTCCTGGCTCCAGACTCTGCTTTAACTGCTTGCCTGATGCGGTCTTGTGGATGGCATATGTGAACAACCCACTGTCCTCACAGTATGCCCTTTCATTATGCTTATATTCTGTGTAAGATAGTGTTGGGTGAAAGTAGTAATATTTGCCATGTGAATTCTGATCATTTATTTTAAATGGTAACAAAGCTGTTAAAGCTAGTCTTGGAAGGTTTGATTTACTCTAAACTTTCTGATCTTCAAGAAAATCATTTAGCTGAATTTTCCTAAGAAAGGCAAACCTATGTGTCTCAGTGGACTTAGATTTTTTTAAACATTTTTGTAATTTTGAGAATAATGGTAGCAGGTGGAGTGGGGCACTGTGTCTCATAGATGAAGATCATACGAGGTGCTTCCCGGCCGTTGTGTAGGGTTTTGGTTTGTTTTTTCAGGTGGCACTGAACCTTGTATGAGGACAGACTGGCAGTGGAATTGCTGCTGGCGGAGCACTGAGTACCAGGGGCAAGAAAGACATCTCTAAATTGGTTGGAATTTGTGTTCTTGTAAACTTGTCTCTTTGCGCCAGTGTTACACATTAACTAAGCATGCCACAAGTAGGTAGCCCTTGTACCTTTGCTCTGGGAGACAGTGCAATTCTGTTCCATTTTTTTTCCCCTTTAGTTATTTTGGTTTATACTTTTAGAAATCATTCCGAGGGCACTTATAACCTTTTCTCCCCCTGGAAAATGTCCTTTAAAAAGTTAAGAATTTAAAATTTTCTTTGTGTATGAACCTGGTCTTTCTAGCCCTTCTGTCTACTTCTGTTACTCTAAATGTAAGCATTCAAAGCCAGTCATTAAAAATTTCCTGCATATTTTAAAACTAGGTTCCCCTACCACATAATCTTAGATGTGCAGTTTTCTTGATTAATCTCATGAGAGCAATACTTTTTCAAAATAGCCATCATACAACGCTAACCTGTGTTCTAGGCAGTTAGGATGTGTAAATGCATGATCTCACTTAGACTTCACAATATCCCACGAATTAGTCATTCTCATTGTCATTTCACAAATATAGAATCTGGGACTCAGAAATTAAATGCTGTACCCAAGGTATCATACCTGCTAAGGATCACAGCCACTGGTCAAAGTGAGGATTGACTGCAGGAATCATGCTTTTAACCATGTGACAAGTTGCCTAATTCCACAACTTTTTTAAAAAATCTTTTTAAAGATTTATTTATTTTTATTGCAAAGTCAGATATACAGAGAGGAAGATCTTCTGTCCAATGATTCATTCCCCAAGTGACTGCAACGGCCAGTGCTGCGCTGATCCGAAGCCGGGAACCAGGAACCTCTTCCGGGTCTCCCACATGGGACCCTGCACCAGTGCCGGGTCCCAAGCCTTTGGGCCATCCTTGACTGCTTTCCCAGGCCGCAAGCAGGGAGCTGGATGGGAAGTGGAGCAGCCGGGATTAGAACCGACACCCATATGGGATCCTGGCATGTTCAAGGTGAGGACTAGCTGCTAGGCCATGCTGCCGGGCCCCTCCCCCTTTTTTTTTAAAAAAGATTTTATTTATTTATTTAAAAGACAGAGGTTTTCCATTCCCTGGTTCACTCCCCAGGTAGCCATGTTAGCCTGAGTTGGGTCTTTTCATATGAGTGCAAAGGCCCAAGGTCTAGGGCCATCCCTTGCTGCTTTCCCAGGCACATTAGAAGGGAGCTGTACTGAAAGTGGAGCAGCTAGGACTTGAACCTGTGCTCATATGGGATGCTAGCGTTGTAGACAGTGGCTTTACCACAGTGTTGGCTCCCTTATTCTCACAATGTCCGATATGCAGCTCTTTCCGTCTTAATTGCATTGTGCATGATAGGTGCTTTGCCATTAACCATTTCTTCTATATGTTGATTCTTTCTATTGTATCTTCAGCTTTTTGTCACTATAATGAAATATCAGAAGCATGTAACTTTATAATGGAAAAAAAGGGGCTTATGGTTTTGGTGGTTCAGATCCAGGATCCAGTGGCCCTATTGGTTTGGCCTCTGGTTGATGATATTATTGCTGAGGAGGCACAGGGCATCACTTGGCAGGAGACAGATTGTATGTCTGTGTGGTCTCTTCCAAAGCTGCCAGGTTTCAGTCATTGGGTTCCACCATGGGATAACCCAAGCCAGAATTTGTACCTCCAAATACCATTATTGAAATGATTTCCAGACTTCCTAGTGTGATTGTGTTTAAAGATGTATTTACTTATTTGAAAGGCAGAGTTACAAAGAAAGGGGAAGAGACAGATTTTCTACCTAGTGGTTTCTCCAACTGACCTCAATAGCTGGAGCTGGGCTGGTCTGGAGTCAGGAGCAGGAGATTCTTCCAGCTTTCCGGAGTGCAGGGGTCCAAGGACCCGTGTGATTCTCCGCTACTTCCCAGGGCACAATAGCAGGGAATTGGATCAGAAGTGGACCAACTGGGATTGGAACCAGAACCCACACGGCAGCTTTACCCCCTGTGAAATAGCTCTGGCCCCCCTCTTAGTGTGATTAGCATAAAACTTAGAGGCCAGAGTGTTGATTCCCAAGTGTTTGGGGGGCTTTTGACATTAGAATCAGTGTCCAAAACCTAGCAGTTATGATGTACAAACTTCTTGGAAGTGACAAAGAAAAACTTGGACCCAAGTGCTTAACTTGTAAGTTTAAATCTTAGCACTGCCTCTTGCTAGCCTGTGCGAGTTCTCTTCTTTGCCTTATCTTTAGGATCTGAACAATCTTCAAATAAAAGCAGATTGTATAAATTTGGAGAATTATTTGTATAGATATTTCTAAAGATTTATTTATTTGGAAGGCAGAGTTAAAAGGTGAAAGATTTATATGATCTGAAGAGAAACCAGAGTATGAAATGCAGGGATACAGAAAGGGAGAAATGGAGAGAGATAGCTCATCCATTGATTCACTCCCCAAATGGCCATGTAGCTGGGGCTGAGCCAGACAGAAGCCAGGAGGCTGGGGCTTATTCCAGGTCTTCCTTGTGGATGCAGGGACTAAAGAAAAGTGGAAAATCTTTTTGTATCTCCTTTCTGTAAATCTGCCTTTCCAATAAAAATTTTTAAAAGATTTATTTATTTTTATTGGAAAGACAGATTTTACAGAGAGGAGGAGAGACAGAAAGATCTTCCTTCTGCTGATTCACTCCCCAAGCGGCTGCAATGGCTGGAGCTAAGCCAGTCCAGACCAGGAGCCAGGAGCTTCTTCTGAGTCTCCCGTGCGGGTGCAGGATCCCAAGGCTTTGGGCTGTCCTCAACTGCTTTCCCAGGCCACAAATAGGGAGCTGGATGGGTAGTGGAGCAATCAGGATGTGAACCAGTGCCCAAATGGGATCCCAGTACATGCAAAGCAAGAATTTAGCCACTGAACTTTTGCGCTGGACACAAAATAAATATATTTTACAAAAAGTATTTATGGACTATTGCTTCCATAAAGGCCTTGAGTCAAGGACACCATTTACAGCTGACAAATCAATTAGGAACTGTATAAGCCTGCTTCGCAGTACAAAGGTAAACAGTGGGGAAGATAACACTGTTGAGTATAACTGTGTAGTTGGAGAAGAGCAGTAAGACTGCATAAATTGGTTTCATCAGTGCAATTAGTACAGCATTAGTTAACCTTGTGAAGAAATAGAGGACTAAGGCATTAAATAAAATTATTTAAAATTATAAAGTTAGAACCAGATGCACGGATTAGAAAAAATCCAGATATCTTGATTACCAAAAGACATATTTGCACACAGTAAAAGTACACAGTAGCAAAAGATTTTTTTTTTTAAAAAAAAGATTTCTTTTCTATTGGAAAGTTATATATAGAGAGGGCAGGAGAGACAGAGGAAGATCTTCCGTTGGTTAATTCACTCGCCATGCGGCCACGATTGCTGGAGCTGAGCTGATTGAAGCCAAGAAGCCAGGAGCCTCTTCCATTCCTCCCATGCAGGTGCAGGGTCCTAGGGTTTTGGGCCGTTCTTGACTGCTTTCCCAGGACATAAGCAGGGAGCTGGAAGGGAAGTGGAGCATCAGGGATATGAACGGAGGACTGTATGGGATCCTGGCACATGCAAGGCAGCGACTTTAGCTGCTAGACTATTGGACCGGCCCGAAAGTCTTTTTTTTTTTTTAAGATTTATTTATTTTTATTGTAAATTCAGATTTACAGAAAGAAGGAGAGACAGAGAAGATCTTGTATCTGTTGTTTCATTCCCTGAGTGGCCACAATACCTGGAGCTGCACCAATCCAAAGCCAGAAGCTTGGAGCTTCTTCCAGGTCTCCCACGTGGGTGTAAGGTTCCAAGGCTTTGGGCTGTCTCTCACTGCTTTCCCAGGTACAAGAGGGGAGCTGGATGGGAAGCGGGGCTGCCAGGATTAGAACCAGTGACCATATGGGATCCTGGTGCATGCAAGGCGAGGATTTCAGCCTCTAGGCTATCATACTGGGCCAGCCCATGAAAGTCTTGACCTGCTAATAGGAAAATGGGCAAGTGATGTTAATAGAAAAAGATGGCAGTGGATAGGTGTGTTCCCTAATCCACATAAAAAGAGATTCTGCACTATGAGAAATGTAGATTGTAACTATGCCGAGCTAATATTTTTCACTTATTGTGTCTGTGAAAATCTGAAAAGTGGAGAGGAGAATACACTGTAAGACTGTAGAACACGAGCTGATCATAGGAGGGAACATGCAGTGAGACGAGAAGTTTATGTGGTGGGTGGGTATTTGGTGCAGCAGTTTAGTTGCCTCTTGAATTGCTACATCTCATAGTGCACCAGTAGCCTAGTGGCTAAAAGTCCTCGCCTTGCCCATGCAGGGATTCCACATGGGTGCCAGTTTGTGTCCTGGCAGTCCTGCTTCCCATCCACCTGCCTGCTGTGGCCTGGGAAAGCAGTGAAGGATGGCCCAAAGCCTTGGGACCCTGCACCTGCATGGGAAACTGGCTTCAGATCAGCTCAGCTCTGGCCATTGCAGCCACTTGGAGAGTGAATCAGCAGGCGATCTTCCTCTCTGTCTCTCGCTCTCTGTTTATCTGATTTTCCAATAAGTAAGTAAGTAAACAAATAAAATAATGCTTAAAAAAAAAAAAGGAATCCGGTTTCCTGCTCCTGCATCTCTCAGGAGGAAGCAGAGGACTCTTGACAGCTTCAGTACTGGGGTCCTGCTGTGCACACCGCAGGCCTTGAATACTGGCTGAGCCCATGATCTTGCAGACATTAGGGGGAGTGAGCTGTCTTTCTTTGCCATCCAGAGCCAATGACAATGCATTTAATCACTTTTAGAGGGGGTGTAACTTTTTTTTTTTTTTACTTTGATGCAGAAAAAATTTCAAATACCATTCATATGGGTAGGATTTAAAAAGTTCATGGGATTGTGTGTTATAAAAAATTGTATACGGCTTTCAAACCTTTTTACACCAAAATAGGAATCTTTAAATTCCCCTTTTCCATGAACTTTCAGAAGTGCCCACTTATATTACTCTTCCAGTTGTAAAAAGCTTGCCTTGGAAGTTAACTTCATAGTATTTATCAAAACTTAAATTGCATGTATCCTTTAACCTGGCAACTTGACTTTTGAAAATGTGTAGGTATCCTTATCTGCATGAAATAACACGTGTGTGGCCATTGATTTAAGCATTGCTTGTAAAACTGCTGAAGTGTTGATTGGTGTAGAACTAGTAATTTAAATTATATTACAGCTTATAGTAAAGTACTATGTGATGAAAATGTATTTATATAAAAATCAGAAATATTGGGCCCGGCACGATAGTGTAGTGTTTACACTTGATCTTAGACAAAAGGCCGAGAAGCGATAGTGTAGTGGTTAAAGTCCTCACCTTGCATGCACTGGGATCCCATATGGTCGCCGGTTCTAATCCTGGCAGCCCTGCTTCCCATCCAGCTCCCTGCTTATGGCCTGGGAAAGCAGTTGAGGACGGCCCAAGGCCTTGGGACCCTGCACCCACGTGGGAGACCCGGAAGAGCTCCTGGCTTCTGGTTTCAGATTGGCTCAGCTCCAGCCGTTGTGGTCACTTGGGGAGTGAACCATTGGAGGGAAGATCTTCCTCTCTGCCTCTCCTCCTCTGTATATCTGCCTTTCCAATGAAAACAAAATAAATATTTTTTAAAAAATCAGAAATATTGTTGAAAAATGTAGCAACATACCTCCTGAGTTTTTCTACTGAAATGATTTTAATTTTGTAAGATGGCATGTGGTTTTGTAGCTTGGAGTGACCAACTTTCTTTCAAACATTTTTGGTTTTAAAATATTTATACTTACCATATTTTTTTTTGTAGTAAATTTGTTAAACATTCATTTTAAACTCACTCTTAGCATGGAACCTTCCTGCTCTGCGGAGATGCACCTTGTGACCTGGCTGCTTTCCCCACAGACACAGTTGCTCATCCTTGTTTGAGAAGCACTTGTACAGCAAAGTTGATTCCTCATCTCTTTATTCTGTACTGTTTCTGTAGAGCAGTTTCCAGTGGAAGCACTGCAGGTTGAGCATCTCTAATCCTCAAATCCAAAGTGCTGCAACATCTAAAACTCTTTGAGCACTAGTAGTAAAGTTTGTACAAGTATTTGAAAATTCAGAAGGCTGAAACCCAAGGTGCTTTTGGGTCGTGAATACTCAAGCCACTTGGTCTGTTGTAGCCCTCTGTGGGCCTCAAACGTTTTCCAAGTTTGTCTTGTTTCTAGGTGTGAACATTCCCAACAAATGATGTATCTAAACCAATTTGGATTATTGACACTGGATTGATGCTAATGTTGTTTATCCAATATGTTCTTATGTAAAATATGCTTCTGTGTTCTGTGTTATACTTCATTGTAAACTGTTCTCTCCAGCAGGATGAAGCTGAAGGAGGTAGATCGTACGGCCATGCAGGCGTGGAGCCCTGCCCACAATCACCCCATTTACCTAGCTACAGGTAAGCTCAAAAGATCAGTTGATGCAAGCAATCAGTTTATTTTATTCCCCATCTACCTTATTCATATTTGTCTTTTAAAATCTGGTTCGAGCTTCATCTTGTTTGTGGAGCCTTTCCTTCCCGGGCAGGGAACCCCAGCCCTCTTTGACCCCCGAGCTCAGTGACTTCACTCAGTGTTCCCTCAGCACCTGCTGCACCGCGGCGTGCCTGATGCGTGTTTACATACACAGATCTGTCCTGCTTCACAGCGATTTTATCTTTATTCTTCTGGTACTAGATGACACATAAAAGACCCTGTACACATATCAGTTTACATGAATGATTTTGATTCATTGATGACAATTTTGACTAGCGGTTTTATGTGAAAATAGATGGAATTGAGGTGGGTGGTATGGTGTAGCAAGTAAAGCCACTGCCTGTGACCCAGCATCTGCTATGAGCTCCAGTTCTTGTCCTAGCTGCTCTGCTTCGAGACCAGCTCCTGGATAATGGCCTGGGAAAAACAACACAACATGGCGAAGGTCTTGGGACCCTGGGAGACCCAAATGAAGCTTCTGGCTCCTGCCTTCTGCCTGATCCAACCCTGGCCATTTTGCATTTGAAGAATGAACTAATGGATGGAAGATAACTCCATATGTAGCTCTTTGAAGTAAATAAATCTTACAAAAATAAAAAGATTTAGTTGTAAGAGCTATATACAGAGAAAGAGATGAAAAAGATCTTCCATCTGCTGATTGACTTTCATCTGGATTTTCCACATGGGGCAGGGTTGGAGCCCTTGGGACCTCCGCTGCTCTGCCAGACGCATTAGCAGAAAGCTTGATCAGAAGTGGGTCAGCTGGACCTCAAACCTGCACCTACATGGGATAGTGGTTCAACCTGTTGCAGCAAATTTTTTTTTTTAAGATGTATTTATTTATTGGAAAGTCAGACACACAGAGAGGAGGAGAGACAGAGAGAAAGACCTTCCATCCGATGATTCACTCCCCAAGAACCACAACGACCAGTGCTATGCCGATCTGAAGCCAGGATCCAGGAACTTCTTCCAGGTCTCCCACACGGGTGCAGGGTCCCAAGGCTTTGGGCCGTCCTCGACTGCTTTCCCAGGCCACAAGCAGGGAGCTGGATGGGAAGTGGAGCTGCTGGGACCAGAACCAGCACCCAAATGGGATCTTGGTACGTTCAAGGCGAGGACTTTAGCTGCTAGGCCACTCCGCCGGGCCCAAGCAAATCTTTTTTTATTAAAGATTTTTTAAAATTCTTATTGGGAAGTCAGATTTACAGAGAGGAGAGAAAGATCTGTTTGCAGGTTCACTCCCCAAGTGGCTGCAGTGTCCAGAGCTGAGCTGAGCTGATCCGAAACCGGGAGCCTCTTCCCAGCCTCCCATGTGGGCGCAGGGTCCCAAGGCTTTGGGCTGTCCTCTGCTGCTTTCCCAGCCACAAACAGAGAGCTGGAAGGGAAGTAGAGCAGCCAGGATATAAAGCAGCGCCCATGTGGAATCCTGTCACATACAAGACAAGGACTTCAGCCACTAGGTTACCGCACCGGGCCCTGCTAGGTTAAATCTTTAAAAAGAAAAAAAATTAGGTAGTTATATCGTGTATGACTGTAAGTAGATACAGTAAATCAGAGGACCATTCTTCAGAGAGCATTTAAAATATACACAGGCTATAAAAACTTGGTGCAGCACCCACTGTTACAGAGACGGTGTTCCAGCCCTGGGCCAGAATCTCACCGCCGTAGTGATGTAAGATCTGTTCAGTAACTACATGCTGAGAGTGAGCCTCTAATCCAGCATTCCTGAGTGACAGCTAAAAATCATGCTTTTGATTTTCATTTTGTGTAGTTTTCTCTGAATCTTTTGTGTATGTAGTTAGCATGAATGTGTTTTTCACAGGAACATCTGCTCAGCAATTAGATGCAACATTTAGTACCAATGCTTCCCTTGAGATATTTGAATTAGACCTTTCTGACCCATCCTTGGATATGAAATCCTGTGCTACTTTCTCTTCCTCTCACAGGTAAGAGGCTCAACTTAAATCCATGGTTGTCTAATTACATGTGTGGTTGGTGTATATTTTTGATGTAATTATGTTGTTATAAACTGCAAGGGATATCAAAGTAATATGAAATAAATATGTTGTAAGAAATCATGTGAATGGGTTTAAAAAAATCTTTTTAAGTTTTTTTTTAACTTAAAATATGGAGTTAACAGAGTGAGAGGGAGGATTTACATCCAGATTGTCTGTAGCTGCCCAAGCGGGGTTGGTTCTAACGTTGGGAGCCAGGAGCTTCTTCTAGATCTTCTACATGGCTGCAAAGGCCCAAGGACTTGGGCCTTCCTCTACTATTTTGCCAGGTCTTTAGCAGGGAGCTGAATAGGAAGAGAAACAGCTGGGACTTGAGCTGGAGCCCATGTGGGATGCCAGTGCTGCAGACAGAGGATTAACTCGCTAACCCACTGCACTGGCTCCAGGTTTTATGGAAGTAAAGAAATGTTTATATGTTCCATTCACTGTTTTATTACTCATTATTATACAGAGGATATAAAAAGGAAGCTGTAGTTTCTAGTATTTTTTCCTCATGATTACTTTTCTACTTTTTTCTATTCCCCATATCTCACTTTTTATTAAGGACAGGTAAGTGAGCATTTTCTGTGTTGGACTTCAGTATTTATTAATAATTTTGAAAATATGTGCTGCTTGCTTGAAATAAATATTCATGCTAATATTAATTATTCCTGGATGACCGATTACTTAGAATTATTTATTTAGAAGTTTATTTCACAAAGGATTTTTTGGTTTATGACAGTAGTTTTTTTGGTTTTTCTGTTTAAGTACTTGTGCCTTTATATGTACAAAGGAAGGACATTTTCATTTGAGCAATTAAACAAACTTTATTGCCTTAATATTTTAGCACATTTCGAAGAGATTGTATTTAGCTGGTAGAATACAGCTCAGGTAATGGAATGTCATGAAGCCTCTCTTACGTTACATTGTGCAGAACTCTCAAACTGATGGGAGCTCCAGATAGCCTGGGTGTGTCTAGTGAAAACCCTTCCTTGTCAGATTCCCCAACCTTTGTGGTTCTTCTCAAGGCCGTTCCAGAACCTTCTATTGGTTACCTGTGTAGACACTTGTCATAGTAGACATACTTTTAGTGTTGCTTTTCTGTTAGAAAACATTTTTTTTTTTTTTAAATTTCACTTCCTTGAAGTACCTCTGCTGTATAATAGAGTACTTGCTAGTGACTGCTTATGTAGTCAGAATTTTTTTATTTTGCAAGATGATCACCTTAGCTAGGGCCTCAGAATTCTCAGTAGGAAGAGTTCTCTAGTCCTGTCTTTTGAAGTATACTTTGCTATAGTACACTACCTCTACATTTTTTTCCCTCTGTAAATTAAAAATAAAAATGCCATTTCACTAAACTTGTACACAATTACCAGATGGAAAAACAGTGTTTGGAGTATTTATGAAAACACAAAAATTCAGCATATAATTTCAAATTCTTTTCAACATTTCTTCAATTTCAACAATATGTTGTTTTGCTCATTTTGTCCTAAAGGTACCACAAGTTAATTTGGGGGCCTCATAAGATGGATTCCAAAGGAGAAGTCTCTGGAGTTTTGATTGCAGGTGGTGAAAATGGAAATATTATTCTTTATGATCCTTCTAAAATTATAGCTGGAGACAAGGACGTTGTGATTGCCCAGAATGACAAGCACACTGGCCCAGTGAGAGCCCTGGATGTGAACACTTTCCAGGTTAGCCATTTCTGCGTCTCTTCATGGTCCTCAGTGTCTGTGCTGTTCAGTTGAGATAAGTGCATGTATCTGTTTTGGCTCAGTCATGGATTTGAAAGCTACAAAATACATGCCTGGACAGGTTGGTGAGTGAGTACATTTGTTTAGTTAGTTGGTGGGTTGAGAGTTAGGATAAGAGTGAAAATTACTGACTCTATGAAGGAACCAGGCTAATGGATTTATTTCTAGAAGTCTATCTGACTGGACTTTTTAAAAACATTAGAGTCCTATGAGATGGAAATCTAGTTTTTATGTGTGTATGATATATCTTTTTTTTTTTTTTAAGAAGCTTGTTTTACTTGAAAGTCACTGAGAGACAGAAACAGATCTTCCATCCTTTGATTCACTTCCTAAATGGTCACAAAAGCCAGTGCTGGGCCAGTCCAAAAGTGGGAACCAGGAGCTTCTGTTAGGCTTCCCATGTGGATACAGGGACCCAAGACTTTGGGCCATTCTCTGCTGCCTTCCCAGGCCATTAGCAAGGAGCTGGGTTGGAAGTAGAGCAGCTGAGACTTGAACTGACGCCATATGGGATGTGGTACATGGCCACCAGAAATCTATACCTTTAAAATTTAAAATCTATACCTTTAAAAATTTGTTGTAGGTTAGCATTAAGGTACTGCTATTTTGTCTGGGGTAATTCACTGTTTATTAATTAAGAACTTTAAAAAAATAGAATAATTGATCATTAGTAATTAAATTTAAAATACTTTGAAGTTTTTTTTAGTGTAATACAAATTTAGTAATTAGTAAAGATCCTATTGTTGCCTTTTTAAAATATCATTAAGTATTAGTTGCATAAATGCATAGGTTAATAAAGATGTTGAGTTAATAAGATTCTGAATTTGTTGGACCCGGCATGATGGCCTAGCAGTTAAAGTCCTCACCTTAAATGTACCAGGTTTCCATATGGATGCTGGTTCTAATTCTGGCAGCTTCACTTCCCATCCAGCTCCCTGCTTGTGGCCTGGACAGCCACAAAGCCTTGGGACCCTGCACCCACGGGGGAGACCCAGAGGAAGTTTCTAGATCCTGGCTTTGGATTGACTCAGCTCCAGCCATTGCGGTAGCTTGGGGAGTGAATCATCGGACGGAAAATCTTCCTCTCTATCTCTCCTCCTCTCTGTATATCTGACATTGCAATAAAAGTAAAATAAATCTTTAAAAAGATTGTTTAAAAAACAGATTCTGAATTTGTTAAAAAGATTTATTTATTTATTATTATTTATATTTGAAAGGCAGAGATCTTCCATCCCCAAATGACTGCAACGGCTGGAGTTAGGCTGATCCAAAACAATTATCCAGGCACTTATTCCGAGTCTCCCATGTGGATGCAAGGACCCAAGCTCTTGGAGCATCTTCTGCTCCTTCCCCAGGCCCATTAGCAGGGAGCTGGATTGGAAGTAGAGCAGCTGGAACTCAAACTCACGCCTGTAGGAGATAGTGGCTTTACATGTTATGCCATAGTGCTGGTCCACATTCACGTCTAGGTTAATAGCAACCAGAATAGTTGATAACATATTAAGAATACTTTAAATAGTTCTTTTTTTTTTTTTCATTATTATTACAACTATAAATTTAGGGCATAGAAATTGAGCCTTGGGCCTTGTGCAGTGGCTCAATGACTAAATCCTCACTCTGCAAGTATCAGGATCCCATATGGATGCCGGTTTGTGTCCTGGCTGTTCCACTTCCTATCCAGCTCCCTGCTTATGGTCTGGGAAAGTGCTGGGCCTAAATCCTTGGGATCCTGCAACTGTGTGTGAAACCTGGAAGAAACACCTGGCTTCTGGCTTCAGATCAGCCTAGTTTCAGCCCTTGGTTTTTTTAGGGAGTGAACCAGCGAATGGATGATCTTTTCTGTCTGTACTCTCTGTAAATCTGATCTGGCTTTGCAAAAAAATAAAAAGTAAAAATAAAAGAAATAGAGCCTAAGTTCACTTAATTGCTTACTGTTTAGATAGTGAATTCCTAGTCAATTATATGAAGCATTTGTTGGTTTTTGGTGAGTGTTTTGTATTATAGTAGCTACTACCATAAATTTCTTGTGGTGATGGTGGTGTCTTATGCCACTTGACTAGAGAACTTACGAGCATAATAGAGAGTCAAAGTAAATATTTGAAACTCATTTTTTTGTGTTTTATATCGTAGTTTTAGGGTCCTTTTTTGCCCTGAAGATGCGGAACAGAGATTATAAAATTATTGCCACTTTGAATATTTTGCATGTAAATGAACTAGAAAAATGTGAGAATTTAAGGCAGGGTTCCACTAGTCCTCAAGTAGCCTGGTTCTGGAAGCTGACCTAAAGATATCCTAAGGACCATGTTATGCTTTTAGCATTCAGCTGTTTCTGAAAACAGTTGATAGTGACCTCTTTGTCTTTCAGAATAAGATTTCCTTGTGGGGCTGGTGCAGTGGTATGACAGGCTAATACTACGCTTGCAGCTCTGGTATCCACAAGGGCTCCAAAAGCGTCCTGATTGTTCCACTTCTGATCCAGCTCCCTGCTTATGGCCTAAGAAAAGAGCAGAGAATGGCCCAAGGCCTTGGGCAGTTATGCCCACAATGGAGATCTGAAGGAAGCTCCTGACTCCCAGCTTGGGATCCGCCCAGCTCTGGCTCTTGTGACCATTTGCGGGAATGAACCAGCAGATGAGAGATTTCTTTTTCTCTCTTTCAAGAAAAAATAAAACTTTTTAAAAAATAGATTTGTTTTTCCTATATATTGCTGCAAAGCTACAAATGATAATCCCTGCAGGGTTAGATGGTTTTAAAATCAGTCCATGTAATTGTTTGTGTGATGTCTTACATTAGAATTGGTTTTGATAATTTGTGTATTTTATTTGAAAGAGTTACACAAAGAAGGCAATACAGTGATCCTCTTCCATTTGCTGATCCAATCCCCAAATAGGTATAACAACCAAAGCTGGACCTGGGTAAGCCAGGAGCTTCATCTGGGTCTCCCACATAGGTAACAGGGGACAACACACTTGGGTCGTCTCCTCCTGCTTGCTGCATGGGAGGTGGAGCAGCTAGGATAGGAGTAAGCGCATATATGGGACGTTGGCATCACGGGTGATGGCAGAACTCTCATTATGCCACAATTGACATTCACCCCTCCACATGCACATACTTTATTTTTAGTTAAATAATTTTAGAATCTGTTTCTCTAAAAATCTAATTAAAATATGAAGGTATATTGCATACAGTCTTATAAGAATATGTTTTTGCTTTCTTAATTGATGAGAAAAATCAGATGTGCTAAAATTTACATTCTCCTAGCTGTTGCCTGAGTTATTCTGAGGTATCAAGTCTTACTTAGTTATGAATAATTTCTTATTGCAGACGAATCTTGTTGCCTCTGGTGCTAATGAGTCTGAAATCTACATTTGGGATCTCAACAATTTTGCAGCTCCAATGACTCCAGGAGCCAAAACACAGGTATTGTATTAATTGTGACCAATGTAATAAAAAAAAAACTGTTTCTGTTTTTAATTTTTTTGCACAAATCTTTGCTTAAATGTCATTGTACTAATACATTTCTTCAGAGTTTCAGTGAGGCCTTCAATGGTAAACATCTAGCACCTACTGCATTATTAGGTACTGTTCATTTTACTAGACATACAGTAGTAACAGGGAGACAAATACTCTAGGTTTTCTTAGATATAGTGTAATTTTTTTGTGTGTGATTGTTGCTCCACTGTCTCTGCTAGCTGAACTTGCAACCTTAATTTAAAAAAGAAAAAACAAAGCCACTCAATTTTTTGTTGTGCATTTCTTGTAAGTTGGGTAAAGTTAATCCCTCCTTGTTCTTTCTTTACATAAAGACACCCAGTATGACCACTTTAACTGGCCCTAACAGTAAGAGCAATTTCTTTCTTTTTTTTTATTTTTTAAAGATTTATTTATTTTTATTATAAAGTCAGATATACAGAGAGGAGGAGAGACAGAGAGGAAGATCCTCTGTCCGATGACTCACTCCTCAAGTGACCACAATGGCCAGTGCTGCACCGATCCGAAGCCAGGAACCAGGAACCTCTTCCGGGTCTCCCACGTGGGTACAGGGTCCCAGGGCTTTGGGCTGTCTTCGACTGCCTTCCTAGGCCACAAGCAGGGAGCTGGATGGGAAGTGGAGCTGCCGGGACTAGAAGCGGCATCCACGTGGGATCCTGGTACTTTCAAGGCGAGGACTTTAGCTGCTAGGCCATCCCGCCGGGCCCAGTAAGAGTAATTTCTTAATGATAACATTTGGCCTAACATTTTTATTGTAGTCAAGGTCATAATTTTTGTTTTTCCCAGATATCTGTGTCATTCGCCAGAGTCTACTTTGTGGCTGTGCTTTTTCTTGGAGTCACTGCAAAAGAAGCAGTACTTGATTTACAGCAGAGCTCAATAAATGCTTGTTGTGTGAGACAATATTAAACAAAATAAACTTGAAGTGGCATATTGTGCTAACAGCAGTGTTAATTTAACCAAAGGTTTCTGTGTTACAGTTGAATTTTGCTCTCATTGAGAAATGGCTCGTAATAGTTTATTCTTCTAGCCCCCAGAAGATGTCAGCTGCACTGCATGGAACAGACAAGTTCAGCATATTTTAGCATCAGCCAGTCCCAGTGGCCGGGCGACAGTATGGGATCTTAGGAAAAATGAACCGATCATCAAAGTCAGTGACCATAGTAACAGGGTGAGTAAGCCTGTAATGTGTGATGTTGCATTTCTACAAGAGTTGTTCCAGTATTGTTAGAGTTGGCAGGAAAGAAAATTCTGTAAGATCAAATCTTGTGTTTTATTGATCAGTCATATTGGAAAGAATCTTTTTATCTCCCTTAGGGAAAATGATAAGATTACCAGTAAGTCATGTTGTGTACCATTCAGAATAAGAGAGAGGTTGATTCAGCAAATAGTTTATTCCATAGTAGGCTGATTATTTTGCAAAATTTTGTAACAATTTTTAGTTCATTAGCTTTTCCTGGAATGTGCAGACTTGACCTTTCCAGAACCCTGGCTTATCTCTTGGGTTCTGTTGGAGGGAGCTAATGTCACTGCGCTTTGCCCTGGGTACCCTGCTGTAAGGCACTTGAAATTCAGCCTTACGGAGTCCTTCCATTTTTATGTTTCAGTGCTGTGAAGTAATTTAGACAAAATATAGACCTTCTGTTTCTTTTAAAGATTTATTTATTTTTATTACAAAGTCAGATATACAGAGAGAAGGAGAGACAGAGAGGAAGATCATCCGTCCAATGATTCACTCCCCAAGTGAGCGCAACGGCCTGTGCTGTGCTGATCTGGAGCCAGGAACCAGGAACTTCCTCCAAGTCTCCCACGCAGGTGCAGGGTCCCAAAGCCCTGGGCCGTCCTCGACTGCTTTCCCAGGCCACAAGTGGAACTGCCAGGATTAGAACTGGTGTCCATATGGGATTCCAGCGTGTGCAAGGCAAGAACTTTAGCTGCTGGGCTGCTGTGCTGGGCTCAGTGTATTGTTGTTTAAGTGAATCAGTTTTAAAGCAAATGTTTCAGTGGAATTAAATATGCAGTAAGAATTTTGTTCATTTTTTGAAACAGTGGGATCTGTACTTCCAGATAATTTTCAGTAATAATGTCAATTGATCCTATATGAAAATTTAATTAGTAGTTGTTACTTAAAACATTTTTGTTGGTTTTCCTGATAAAATAGGGAAAAAAATATGAAGCTTTTTTGTTTTTAAAATATTTTTGTCATTATTTTTTAGAAGGCTAAAAGAATTGAGGAGCAGGAGAGGGGAATCTTTCATGCAAATGGCACCAATGACCAGAGTAGGCCACGACCAGAAGCTTCTTCTGGGTCTCTACATGGGTGCCAGGGACCCAAGGACTCAGGCTATCCTTCTCTGTTTTCCCAGACCATTGGCTGGGAGCTTAATCTGAAGTGGAGCAGCTGGGACAAGAATAGGCACTCCTTTGGAATGCCAGAGTTGCAGGCAAACAGAGGTACACTATGGTGCTGGCCCCTCTGGTTCTGTTTTTACAGAAAGATTTGTTATTTGTAAGATGGAGTGACAGAGAGGGAGAGAAAGGCACAGAGATCTTCCATTTGCTGACTCATTCTTAGATGGCAGAGATACCTATTTCCAGGTCAGGCTGAAGCCAAGGACCCAGAACTCTGTATTGGTCTCCCACATATTTGGGCCATCTTCTGTGCCTTCCTAGGAACATTAGCAGGGATTGCAATTGGAAACGAGCCAGTGGGAACTCAAACTAGCGCTCTGATACAGGATGCCTGCATTGCAAGCAGTCATTTAACCTGCAGTAACATAGTTAGGATTTTGACAGTGAGATGTTTGATAAAAATCATTATGGCCCATAATGATTTTGTACATGTGAAATAGCTAGGTGAATGGAAAACTTCAAAACATTTTGACTCTTAAGATTACTGTTTTGGGCCCTGCGATGTGGCCTGGCAGCTAAAGTTCTTGCCTTGAACGCACTGGGATCCCATATGGGCGCCGGTCCTAATCCTGGCAGCTCCACTTCCCATTAGCTCCCTGCTTGTGGCCTGGGAAAGCAGTTGAGGACAGCCCAAAGACTTGGGACCCTGCACCCGTGTGGGAGACCTGGAAGTTCCTGGATCCTTGCTCCAGATCGGCGCAGCGCCATCCGTTGTGGGTACTTGGGGAGTGAATCATTGGACGGAAGATCTTCCTCTCTGTCTCTCCTCCTCTCTGTATATCTGACTTTATAATAAAAATAAATAAATCTTTTGAAAAGATTGCTGTTCAAAACAATTTACTAACATTTAATAGTTTTGTTTTTAAAAACTAAACCTAAACATTTTTATTGTTGTTTCAATAGAAGCAATCCCAGACTTCCTGTTTTGTTTCTCATAAAGTAAAGTGATTGATAAAATATGAGCTCTAACTGTCTGCAGATGCATTGCTCCGGGTTGGCGTGGCACCCTGAGATTGCTACTCAGATGGTCCTTGCCTCTGAGGATGACAGGCTACCTGTGATCCAGATGTGGGATCTGCGATTCGCCTCCTCTCCACTTCGCGTCCTGGAAAACCATGCCAGGTATCATATTGCTGTTCCAAGAAACTTGATTGTTTTCCTAAAGCATTTTTAAGTTGTCAGGTAATTTTTTGAAATTATGAATCTGTTTGGTCTCTAACTGGTAAAAGGTACTGTACATGTTTTGTTTTTAAAGTTAAAAATGTATTTCCTTAAAGGTAGGGAGAAGGGGAGGCAAGTTGGAGGAAAGAAAAAGAGAGACAGGGAAAAATAGCTCCCATCTACTGGTTGAGTCCACAGATCCCCAGATGGTTGGGACTGGGCTTAGTCCGGGAACTAGGAACTCAAGCCGGGCTGCCATGCAGGTGTCAGAATCCAGAGGTTTGAACCATTGCCACTGGCTGTAAGGGTCTGCATTAGCAAGAGGCTGGATCAGGAGCCAGAGCCTGGTGTTGAACCCTGACACTCCAGTGTGTGATATGGGCATCCTCAGTAGTGGCTTGTCCACAAGACCAAAGGTGGGTCCCTGTTTAAACAATAGTCATCTTGTTTTCTATACCAAGAGTTGGCAGCTAAATCATATTGTAGCATGTATCCTTTGTTGAAAGATTTTCTACTACTTGTTTTAAGTATAATTAGCAGATCAGAATTCTGATTTGTTATAGAACCTAGGGACAACCCTTGAAATTTATTAAGCAGTGTGATTTTTTGTTAGTATCTATCATTCTTAATCAGAACAAGTCTTCTGTAACATTTGGTGCCAGAAAGCATTTTAACTTTATTTCTAAGTTTTCATTCTAATTTAAAAGCATATACTTTTGAGATAAGTATATGGTTCCTTCTGTTCTGAGGGTTCACTCCCCCCCTTCGGATATTAAGTTTATTTGAGAGTTTATTTGAGAGAGAGGGAGAGACATTCATTTCACAGGTGGCCGCAGCATGGAGTCAGGAGCTTCTTCACGGTCTCCCACATAGGTGGCAGGGCTCAGACACCTTGGGCCATGTTCCACAGCTTTCCCAGAGTTAGCAGAGAGCTGGATCAGGAGTGGAATAATTGGAAATTGAATTGGCACCCATATGGCACCAGGTGGCAGCCTTCCCCACTTATGCTACAATGCTGACTTGTTTTCAGTTTTAATAAATGTGCAGGATGGAGATTTTTCTCATGTTAGTTTCAGATTTACGGAATTGAATTAGTTAATGGGCACAGTTCTTCTCGCTGATAATTGGGTATCCCAGGAATATAGGCATATGTATTTAGGAGAATAAAACTTTTTTTTTCTTATTCTTTTGTAAGATTTATTTATTTGAAAGGTAAAGCTAGAGAAAGGAGGAGAGAGCGAGCTTCCATCCTCTCTCCTAAGTGATTGTGGCAGTTGTGGTTGTGTCAGACCAGTACCAGGGACCTGGAATGCCATCTAGGTCTCCTATATAGGTGGAGGGGCCAAGTTACACAGATCATGTTGTTAGGTAATTTTTATTTTTTGTTCTTAACTTTCACATGGTCATAATCTTTTTTTTTAAGATTTATTTTGTTTTTATTGGGAAGTCAGATATACAGAAAGGAAGATCTTCCATCCCATGATTCACTCCCCAAGTGACCACAACGGCCAGTGCTGCGCCAGTCCGAAGCTGGGAACCAGGAACCTCTTCTGGGTCTCCTACGTGGGTGCAGGGTCCCAAGGCTTTGGGCCGTCCTTGACTGCTTTCCCAGGCCACAGGCAGGAAGCTGGATGGGAAGTGGGGCTGCCGAGATTAGAACCGGTGCCCATATGGGATCCTGGTGCGTTCAAGGCGAGGACCTTTAAGCCACTAGGCCACGGTGCTGGGCCCCACATGGTCATAATCTAACTGTATCTATATATTTATCATGTGGAAGGTAAGAAAGACATAGTACACATCATGTTGAAATTCTGTATTATTTATGTATTTTAAAGATTTGTTTTATTATACAGAGAGGAGGAGAGACAGAGAAGGTCTTCCATCCTTTGGTTCATTCCCCAAATGGTCACAAAGGCTGGAGCTGAGCCAATTTGAAGCCAGGAGCCAGGAGTCTCCTCCTTGGGTGGCGGCAGAGTCCCAATGCTTTGAGTCATCCTCCGTTGCTTTCCCAGGCCATCAGTAGAGTGCAGGATGGAAAATAGAACAGTTGGAACATGAACCAGCACCCGTTTGGGATCCCGGCGTTATAGGACAGAGGATTAGCAAGGTGCACCACCGTATTGGCCCAAACATTCTGTATCCTTGCAATGATCAAAGAATGTGTACATTACCAAATTGTTTTGTGGAAAATTGAGATAATAACTTTTACATTGAAATAATATGAGATTTGACTTTTCAAAATTAATGATGTCTTGCTTCCTTTGTTTTTTTCATAGGGGAATTTTGGCAATTGCTTGGAGCATGGCTGATCCTGAATTGTTACTGAGCTGTGGAAAGGATGCTAAGATTCTCTGCTCCAACCCAAACACAGGAGAGGTATGGGCAGGAAATGTTTCCTAACCTTATACCCCTTGTATATTTCATTTTTTTTTAAAAGATTTCTTTTTATTATTTTTTATTGGAAAGGCGGATATACAGAGAGGAGAGACAGAGAGGAAGATCTTCAGTCCGAGGATTCACTCCCCAAGTGAGCGCAACGGCCGATACTATGCTGAGCCAAAGCCAGGAGACTCTTCCCAGTTTCCCACGGGGGGGAGGGGGTGGGTTGCAGGGTCCCAGGGCTTTGGGCCGTCCTCTGCTGCCGGGATAGAACCAGCGCCCATATGGGATCCCGGGCATGCAAGGCAAGGACCTTAACCACTTGCGCCACCGTGCCAGGCCCTATATTTCATTTTTATGTGACTTGTAAGAGTTGAAAATTTACCATATGGATCTTTTTTAAAAAACAATTAATTGAGATGCAGGAAAAGAGAAATCTCCCATGTGTTGGTTTTCTCCTGATAAGGCCAAAACAGCTGTGGCTGGGCCAAGAGTCGAAGCTGAGAGTTGAGAACCTAATCCAGGCCTCTCACAATGAGTGGCAGGAAGTCAGTTACTAGAACCTTCTCTACTGTTAACCCTGGGGCTGCTTTTACAGGATTGCTGCAGTCAGGAGTTTGAGTCAGATATCTCTAATATGGATGGGTAATTGTATCTTTTTTTAAATTTACTTATTTGAAAGGCAGATATAGGAGACAGAGAGGAAAGGGGAGAGAGAGAAATCTTCCATTTGCTGGTTCACTTCTCAAATTAGCAACTGGGGAGGGACCAAATCCACAGCCAGGAATCATGAACTCTGGCTCTCCTGTGTGGTAGCAGGGGCGTGAGCAGGGAGTTGGGTGGGAAGCATAGCAGATAGGACTTGAACCCATTACTCCGGTGTGGGTTGCCTGATCTCATGCAGCAAGTTAGCCTGCTCATGTCCCCAGGACACAGCCATCTTAATCACTAGGCTGAATGCCCACCTCTAGAGAGGTTCTTTTTGCATTGTTATAGTTAATAACATGTTTTAAGTACATGTGATGGGTAAGTGTGAAATGTTAATCCAACAAATTTCTTCAGGAGTATTATATAAACCTGGCTGTTTTAACCAGAAAAACAGTTGTTAAAAATAGTACATGGATATGAATAATCACCATTTTCTATAAAATAAATCAGAAATACTTAGATTGATTTATTTCACAAATGGGGCAATGAGTATGTTGTTGAGTTCTTTAAGATTTTAATTTTGGGGGGGCTGGCAAGGTAACCTGGTGGCTAAAGTCCTTACCTTGCACATGCTAGGATCCCATATGGGCACTGGTTCTGATCCTGGCGGCCCTGCTTCCCATCCAGCTGTCTGCTTTTAACCTGGGAAAACAGTTGAGGATAGCCCAAAGCCTTGGGACCCTGCACCTGTGTGGGAGACCAGGAAGAGACCCCTGGTTCCTGGCTTTGGATCGGCTCAGTTCTGGCCGTTGTGGTGACTTGGGAAATCAGTCAACAGACAGAAGATCTTCCTCCCTGTCTATCCTCTCTGTGTATTGATTTTTCTTGTGATTGATTTTACTTTTTTTTTTTTTTTTAATTTTTATCCTCTCTTGACTTAAAGCCAGATTTCTCAGTGAGTTCCTCCGTGTTGAGATTGACTTTATGGGTTGGTGTTGCGGCTTGTAGTATAAACAGCCTGTGGAACCTGCATCCCAAATGCATACCAGTTTGTGTCTGGGCTGCTACACTTCCAATCCAGCTTCCTGACAATGGCATGGGAAAAACAGCAGGAGATGGCCCAACTGCTTGGGACCCTGCTGTCCGCTGGGGAGACTCGGATGGAATTTCTGGCTTCAGGTTTTCTCCTAGCTCAGACTCAGCTGTTGCAGCCATCCTGGGGGTGAAGTAGCTGGTGGAAGGTCTCTAACACTGACAATCAAAGTAAGATTGATTTTAAAATTGGACTTTCAGGTAACCTAAATAATGGATATTTTGATGTTATCAGGCAAAAAGGAAAGAATTATTCTTTTAGAGGTTAGTAACTTGACTATCACGTTTTCTGGTTTTTCAAATGCATTCACTATTGCCAGTTCAATATAAGTGGAAAAGCTTGAGTGTTTTAAGATGCGCTAGTTTCAGTCTGGTTGAAAGTTCAAGTAGCATTCTTATGATCATCAAAGACTACATAATGGGTCATTCTTACACTTAAAAAAAAAGCTTGCTATGGTGTTTTTCTTGAATACAGATATTTTCTAGAAGAAAATGCTCATGTTAGTTGTAGTGGTTGGCCGCATTAGTGCTTTGGTGTTAAAAGGACTGCATCCTTTCCTGACTTCTGTTTTGTTATTTTTGTGGCCTAGGTGTTATATGAACTTCCCACCAATACACAGTGGTGCTTTGACATTCAGTGGTGTCCCCGCAATCCTGCTGTCTTATCAGCCGCCTCGTTTGATGGACGTATCAGTGTTTACTCTATCATGGGAGGAAGCACAGATACTTTGAGGCAGAAACAAGTTGACAAGGTAATAGAAGTGTTAAGAGCTTTATATTGTAATGCATGAAAGAATTACATTGTTATTTTGAACATTTTTTACTGATCAGTAATGTGGATTTCCTGGACAATTAAGTTAAAAAATTTATTGAAAAAATGCACACAGTTTGTTACGAATTTTCACTTTCTTTTCTTCCTTCCTTCCTTTCCTTCTTTTTTTTTTAGCTGTCGTCATCTTTTGGGAATCTGGATCCTTTTGGCACAGGACAGCCGCTCCCCCCGTTACAGATTCCCCAGCAGAGCACCCAGCACAGCATAGTGTTACCTCTGAAGAAGCCTCCCAAGTGGATCCGAAGGCCTGTCGGGGCTTCTTTTTCTGTAGGTGGATTTTATTTTCATGTTCCCCAGGCAGAATGTTACTGTAGTATGATCAGAGTGAGCCCGCTTGAACTTGGGGTGTGATTGTGGACTTCTCATCACAGCGTTCAGAATGATTTCTCAGAAAAAGTAGGACGTACATTTTTTTTTTTCAGATTTTGGTTTTATGTAGTCTAAGACTTGCCTCTCTTTTTTTCAAAAAGGATGCATTTATTTGAAAGACAGTAAGAAAAATTTTTAACAATACTTCATTCTCCAAATGCCCTTAACAACTGTTGCTGAGCCAGGCTGAAGCCAGGAGCAAGCAAGGTCATCCAAGTCTCCTATGTGGTATCAGGACCACAAGGATCTAACCCTCATCTGCTGCCTCCCACATGCATTAGCAGGAAAGGGTCAGCAGCTCAGAATTGCCAATATTTAAACCAGGCACTCCTGTGTGGGGTACTGGTGTCCACATGGCAATTAACTTGTGCTGGACCACAATGCCTCCCCTGTAAGAATTTTTGTATAGGTTAGGCATCCCTGGTTTGCAATGCAAAATTCTCAAAATTTCAAACCTTTTAGCGTGCTGCATGACACCACAGGTGCAAAATTGTGTAGTTAACCTTCTCAGATGGGTTGCAGTCAGAATATAGCAGCACTAAAAATATTGTGAAAAATTACCTTTGGGCTGTAAGTGAAGCAGAACATACATTTCCTGGTTAGACTTGAGCCTCATCCCCATGAGTTCTCATTATAGATGTATAAATAATCCAAACACTTTTTCCCCTCAGAGATTTATTAGAAAAGCAGATTTACAGAGAGAAGGAAAGACAGAGAAAAATCTTCTGTCTGCTGGTTCACTCCCTAAGTGGCCACAGTGGCCAGAGCTGAGCCGAGGAAGCCAGGAGCCAGGAGCAGTTGTCTCCAGATTTGCAATAAGCTTGTTTTTTGGTTACCTCCTTGCAGGGAGACTGATTTTGTTCCTTTGTTCTTTGTTCTTCCACAGTTTGGAGGCAAGCTGGTTACATTCGAGAATGTCCGAGTGCAGTCTCCACAGGGGGCTGAGCAGCAGCTGCAGCAGCAGCAGGTCTTCATCAGTCAGGTTGTAACAGAAAAGGAATTCCTCAGCCGGTCAGACCAGCTTCAGCAGGTTGTACAGTCTCAAGGATTTATCAGCTATTGCCAGAAGAAAATTGATGCCTCCCAGACTGAGTTTGAGAAGAATGTGTGGTCCTTTTTGAAGGTAAAATTAGTATGTAAAACCTTTAAAAAAAACAAGGATTTATTTTCTTTTTGTTGAAAAGTCAGATTTACAGAGAGGAGGACTGACAGAAAATCATCCATCTGCTGAGTTAACTCCCCAAGTGGCTGCAATGACAGAAGTGAGTCAACCCCAAGTCAGGAGAGAGGAGCTTCTTCTGAGTCTTCCATGTGGATACTTGGTCCCAAGGCTTTGGGCCATCCTTGACTGCTTTCCCAGGCCACAGGCAGGGAGCTGGATGGGAAGTGGAGCAGCTGCTTTACAAATTGGAGCCCATGTGAGATCCCACTTGTGCAAGGCGAGGATTTAGCCACTAGGCTATCATGCTGGGCCCTGAAACCATTTTATTGTCTGCATTTTTTTTTTTTTTTTTTAGATTTTTATAAGATTTTATTTTGACATTTTTTACATAGTTAATTAGGGTAAGAAGGTTCAAGGGCTACATGAAAGTGGATAATACTAGTATGTTTTCCATATTGTTACCTTCATGTTTACAGGGGGATATTTAAGGGAGAAGGCCCACCCAATTTCCCACCCTCCCCAGGTCCCGGATGTAGGGCATGCTCTGAGGTTCTTGCTCAAGTGGTTTTGATATTGCCACAGTCATGAATCGCTGTCAATCTTGCCACTCCAAGCACTATGAGATCTTTGAAAAATCAACTGATTGACATAGTCCATCATAGCTGAGATGGTTGGTTGACCTGTTCTGTCTTCTCTCTTTTCTTCGTTAGGGTTCTGAGTCGAGCATTTAGATTAGGAAGATCTCCAAAGAAACTTCTTGTATGTGCTAACAAGTACAGGGCCTGGCACCGTCCATCGCTCCAATCAGCTGGTGGTTGCAGTTGCTGGGTTGGTTCTGTTTTCACTCCCGACTTCCACTGGAACCAATGGGTGTTGCAGTCCAGCCTGGTTCTGCCCAGCACATACTTGGCCCTCACATAAACCAGCGGGAGCTGCAGCCTAGGTTGGAGCGACCCACAATAACCCCCACCAGGCCCACTCCCTACCCTGGTTTGCCAGTAAGTGTAGCAGTAATCCAGTCTGTCCCACACCCCATTCCACCCCAGCCGCTATCTTAGTTATCTTAGTTTTATGTCCTGTGAAAGTGGTAACCCAAGAGGGATGAGCCCACTATTTCCCTCCCAGGCCTCTCCCACTCCCAGATTCCAGTTGATGCTGCGTCTAAGCCCAAACAACCCTTGCCCACTTTAATTTTGCTTGCACCAGTAGGAATAATCCGCCCAGCCTGGCTTTTCCCTGATCTAGTCCACATGAGGCGCACAGGTGTGGTAGCTCTGCCTAGTCTGGTCTGCCCCCATCCCAGCCCATGCTCTCCTGCGGAAGTAGCTGTCCTGCAAAGAAACCCTCCTTTATTCCCCTGCCGGCTCTGCCCACTTCCTTTCTTGTTCTCAGGCTGGTAGGGCGCTGCGGTCCCTTCCGGTACAGGCAACCTCACCTCGGCATTCCATAATGTGCACTAGTCTTTGTTGCGACCAACCCTAGGTCGACCCACACTGGTGCCTGGATTTGCCAGTGGATAATGTGGACAGATTCAGCCTGGTCTTGCCCCCACATCAGCCAATTGTATGCCAGTGGGTAGCTTTCCATGGCCTTTTCTGGGCTGTTTCCTATCATGTTTCTTGCGTTTACCTGCCAGGTCTGTGTCCTGCCAGAGGAGTTGCCCAGGCTCCTCCATCAGAACCTCTCCCAATGCCAGGTTTCACGCTTACCAGTGGGTCCATGAGCCAACCCTACTCAGTCCACCTCCTGTAATAACAGGAACTGTGGCTTTTCCTGTCTGGCCTTCCACCCAATCTGGTTCTTGCTGTTGGATGTTCCAGCCCAGCCATGGTTTGTCTATACCCACATATGGCTCACACATGGCTCAGTAGGGGTTTGAGACCCTGCCTGGTCCATCCCACATCTGCCCTGGTCCTCCAGAACACCAGGGGGAGTCGGGGTCCGGCCCGGTTCGGTGCACCCAATCCCAGTCCACACTTGTGCCAAGGGAGACTACAGCTGTTTCCAGATCAGAACGCAGCTCCCCTTCCAGGCCATGTGCCTCTTGGTGGGAACCTCAGCCCAGCTAGGGTTGTCCCCTTTGCTCCCCAACCAGGTCTGTTCCCAGCCATAGACCACTTGCCTGCCAATGGATGCTCTGACTCAGCTTGGCACAGCTCCTCACCTGTCCCGACCTCTGCCTTAGACACTGTGGCTTAGCGTCCCTGGCTCCCACAGACCAGCAGGTACAAGAACCTAGCTCGGCAAGACCTCTGTGCCCTCCTGGTTTCTAGTTTTACTTGTGGGCTAAGGTTTGTTCAGTCGTGCCTAATCTACTCTGTTCCATTACCAGTTGACACATTGGCCAACTGTTGGAGCTACTTTTGCAGGACAGGCCCCAAGCCCTAGCTTCTGCATGACTGGTATTTGGTACTCAGAATTATTAGTGATTACAAGTTTTGCTAAGGAAGAGTTACTGCCTGTTTCAGGTCCAAGAAGCACAATGGGTTCAAACTGGAGGGAATTAAGCAGCAACTCAAAGAACCAAATCCCCAGAGCTCCCCGGCCGGGCAGCCAGCAGGCCCGAGGACAGCTCAGCACATGGCGGCTGTCCGGGATCCAGGCATGAGACGCCCCGTCCTGAGACCCACCAGCTGCCAGGAGGCAGCTGGAGGTTTAAATAACCCAGGCCCAAGGTCGCCCCCCTCCCAAATCCCATTCACCGCCCCATGAGGGCGGCGGGTGGGTGTCGGGCCTGCCCAGCCCCGGAGGCCTCCCCCTCGGTCTACTCACCCCGAAGGAAGCGGCCCCCGGAACCAGCAGGCCCGAGGACAGCTCAGCACATGGCGGCTGTCCGGGATCCAGGCATGAGACGCCCCGTCCTGAGACCCACCAGCTGCCAGGAGGCAGCTGGAGGTTTAAATAACCCAGGCCCAAGGTCGCCCCCCTCCCAAATCCCATTCACCGCCCCATGAGGGCGGCGGGTGGGTGTCGGGCCTGCCCAGCCCCGGAGGCCTCCCCCTCGGTCTACTCACCCCGAAGGAAGCGGCCCCCGGAACCAGCAGGCCCGAGGACAGCTCAGCACATGGCGGCTGTCCGGGATCCAGGCATGAGACGCCCCGTCCTGAGACCCACCAGCTGCCAGGAGGCAGCTGGAGGTTTAAATAACCCAGGCCCAAGGTCGCCCCCCTCCCAAATCCCATTCACCGCCCCATGAGGGCGGCGGGTGGGTGTCGGGCCTGCCCAGCCCCGGAGGCCTCCCCCTCGGTCTACTCACCCCGAAGGAAGTGGCCCCCGGAACCTGTCTGCATATTTAAACTTTTCTCCTTATACTCTATCTGCCTTTTAATTTAAGAAGCAGTTGGAAAAGTATGATTGCCTGAATTCATGAAGTTTAAAATGCAAATAATCTGTCTTATAGCTGGAGTTTTTTCCTTCTCTACTTTGAATGGCCTGATATAAAATAATTTTAAAATATTTTATTTTTAATTTGTTTTTTTATTTGAAAAGCAGACAGAGACCAGCCATGCATCTAATGGTTTATTCCACAAATGTCCTCAATAGACTGGGCGAGGCCAAACTGAAATCTCAAACTTAATTCAGGTTTTCCATGTGGAGGCAGATTCAGTTATTCCTGACTCCCAAGATGTGCAGTAATAGTAAGCTAGAATCAGAAGTGGAGCAAGGACTCCAACCTACACACTCTAAAATGGGATGCTGGCATCCCGAACAGCATGTTAACTGCTCTGCCAATCGTTTTATAAACAGAGAGATTAACCCAGTATGGACCATTTAAATGTCTTTACTAGATCCAGTTAAGGACAATGGGAAAATATTGTAGATTGCATTTTTTTTCTAAAGATTTATTTATTTATTGGAAAGTCAGATATACACAGAGGAGGAGAGACAGAAAGGAAGATCCTCCGTCCGATGATTCACTCCCCAAGTGAGCACAACGGCCGATGCTGTGCTGATCCAAAGCCAGGAGACTCTTCCGGGTCTCCCACACAGGTGCAGGGTCCCAAACTTTTTGGCCGTCCTCAACTGCTTTCCCAGGCCACAGGCAGGGAGCTGAATGGGAAGTGGAACTGCCGGGACTAGAACTGGTGTCCATATGGGATCCAGTGTGTGGAAGGCGAGTACTTCAGCCGCTAGGCCACGCCACCATGCCTATAGATTGTATTTTTATATTTTATATTTATGTATTAGTTTGGGGGAAGAGTTTTGGGATAGACTGTTTCATATAGTGTGAACTTTGCATTCTTATAACTGGATGTGAGATTGTCTTTGCAAAAATTAAAATTCAAAATGAGTTGTATTTAACAATGATTGTTGCTAATACTAATTATTTTTAAAATAGCAGATTTTAAAAAATTGTTGTTTGAGTTCTTTCTAGTAGTGAATCTTTAGGATGATATAGTGGGCCTTAAACTTTTTAAATAAATCTTGAATTCTTGTCAGTTGTTATAAAAGCAAGTATTTTAAAATAGGCCTTTAAGATTGTATCTTTTTTTTTTAAAGGTGAACTTTGAGGATGATTCTCGTGGAAAATATCTTGAACTTCTGGGATACAGAAAGGAAGATTTGAGAAAGAAGGTGAAGTCTGGGAAGGTTGAATCACTGTACTTATACAAGTAAAATATTTAGTTGGCAGACTTTTTTTTTCTTATAAAGCTCTACATAGATTATCTCAAGCCAATTAATAAGCATCTAATAAGAATTTGTGCTTGGTTACAGAAGTGGCAAATACAGGTTGTTAACATTCAGAACTTTAAGTTATACTTGTATTTAGAAGCTGCCAGAAGCAATTCAGTTCAAACTTAATTGTTACGGATAATTGGGCCTTGAATGTTAAGTCACTTAGGAACCTCAGACTCTGGAAATAACTCTGACATTTTAATGCAGTGTGTAACCAGTGACCTTGAGGGGTAAAGGAAAGTATGAAAGGTCACCTTAGGGTCTCCACATTTTCAATAATGGAAAGATTGCCACCTGAAAAGAGGGAGTCACGCTGCAATTTTATGTTGTCCTTCGGGAACTTATACACTGTTTTGCCACTAACATCAGTAATAGTAAAAGCACCCTGACTTCGCAAGCTTGAAGATAGTATTTTATATTCTCTTTCTGTGTAATTTGTGTTAGCGTTGGTGATTGTTTGGAAATGATTGAAATCTAGCATCCGTGCATCACAGGTTGGGTAGGGTCCATTCTAGGAGCTGGTCAGTGTCCCTTTGATGTCTGGCCAAGGATCCCATCACAGCCCCACTATTTAGTGGCTGTGTATCCTTACTCATTCTTAGAGTTTTTATATTTAACTCTTCCATTAGCCTAAACCTCATGATGCTATAATTTTTTTAGGTTTGCCAAAGATTAATACGAAAGTTTTGCTGCATGCCTGATAGCAAAAAAAAAAAAAAAAAAAAAAGAGGAGCTAGAATCTGATTCTCAAAATACTTGTAATAGCAGTTCTTTTTCATAGTGAGTATCTGAAGAAATATTTTTAAGAATTAATTTTTTTAAAGCCAAGTCGAAGCAAGCATGTTCCTTTTCAAGTTGGTTTTGTCATTGAACTGCAGAGCAGGATGACATCTGATTTGCAAATTTCTCTGTGAAGGAAAGTAGAAGATTTTAAAGCCAGTTCTGCACAGCTTTTTTTTTTTCTTTGTTTAAACATACTGTACCTGCTAAGATTTGTGGATTATTGCTCTTGGGAATGGAATAACATGTGAACATTTTCTGTATACCCCAAAGTAGAATTTTGTTTAGTAGGCGAGTTGTTATTTTTTTTCAGATTGCTTTGGCCTTGAACAAAGTGGATGGAACTGATGTGGTAAGAAGGCCTTTAAAGTTTTGGTTAGGGCATAATGACAAAAAGGGAATTAATTCTTAAGAAATTTGTTTTACGCTTCGGATTTGAAAAATAAATGCTAATTCTGGCTCTCGTCATAAAATAGCATCAGTTTAGCTGACACACAGCATTCCTTTCTCTTGGCATGTTTGAATTTGGTAAAAGAGAAATGGCAGAGCCAACAACTGCTCCGATACTTGGGATGAAAATCTTTTTGTGGCTGGGGGACCCTTGCTTTTCCTCTAATGGTGTTTCTTAAATTAAATGGCTCTGAATGGTGTTTGATTGGGTCTTTGTCTTCCTCATGACTAATCCTCGTTTCCTGCTCCGTTCTTCCTCCTGCTCTGGGACTGTTTCGTGTACCAAAGGCTCTTACAGACTCTGGCCCAGGAGCACAGAGTGATGGGGAGGAAAGCCCTGCTGCCGAGGAGCAGCTCTTGGCAGAGGTACTGATGTTTTTTGCATTATATTGGACAAATGTTTGTGTATCTGGTGAAATATGGAAAATTTCCCTGACTACTTCTTAAATAAGGAAATTGGAATATGTTGCCTTTTTAGAGATGCGTACGGTAGAAATCTGTTCATTTTGATTGTAGACCAAAGGAAATGTCATCTCTGAGCTCTTCAGTTCTCTCATCTGACTTCCAGATGTAATATATGTATATAATTGTTTCTATATTAAAATTAACAGTTGATTTGAGATTTAACTTTTAGGTCAGATAGCATGGCAAACTGAAAAGGGATTGTATTCAGAAATCTACTTGGCATTGCACATAGAGATAATTTTTTTATGGCACATAAATTCTCAATGGCATAGACTCTGAATTAGTCCTGAAGTTTAGACTAGCAAGTATTTTTCACTAAACTAAATTTATTAACAATGTATTTGTTAATAAATGTCATTTATTAACAATGTATCCTTAATGTAGCTGATAAATTTTTGTAACTAACTTAAAAGAGTCCTTGAACACAAGATTGTATCCTTAAATTTTTCCATTTAACTTTGTGAGATTTTTTTTAACTTAACAACTAACACGGTAATTTGCTTTTCTTGCTTTCTGTGTTGTCTTTGAAAATTAATCAGCAAGTTCATGATTCTCATCTCATTTCTGACTTTTTCTTTGTTCTTGATATGAAACTATCTTGCCTGCCATGCTTTGTATGATCTTTCACTAGATTATAAAAAATGATTCATTATTAGTAAGTTTAAACATCATTACAAGAAGATAATAAAAAAATTTTTTTAGAAGTAGATCTCCTAGTAGCATTAATGCAAGATGGGACTACCGGCTATGTTTAAGACATAAAAGTTTCAATTAAATTTAGGAGTACCTAGGGAAATTTATAGGGGCATATACAAGTACTTTTATTTATACAGCTAGATTAACTGTGTGTTGCCTAGTAGACAACCATTTGACAATATACTCATGAATAATAGATAACTTAACAAACTAACCATCACTGTAACTTTTAAAGAGATTTATGTATGAATTTGAAAGCCAGAAAGAAAGGAAGATGGAGAGACAGAGACAGATCTATCAGATGCTTCACTCCCCAGTTGGTTTCAGTGGCTGGGGCTGGACTAGGTGGAAGCCAGGAGCCTTTTCTGAGTCTCCTGCTTGGGTAGCAGGGTCCCAAGTACTTGGGGCAGCTTCTGCTGCTTTACTAGATGCGTTTGCCAGGAGCAGCCTGGACTCATATTGGCGCTCTTGTGGGAAGATGGCATCAAAGGCTTATCTTAGCCGTTTGTGGCCCAATGCTGATCCTTCACTTCTAAAAAAATAGTGTTTAAGCATCCCTTTGGTTAGAATCATACAGCTTTTTAAAAGAATTTACTTATTTTAGCGGCAGGCAGGGACAGAGTGAGTCCTCCAAGTGCCGTTTTGCTCTCCAAATGCCTGTATTGACCAAGCGAGAATGGGCCAGATCAAAGCTAGGAGCCGGAATTCAGTTCAACCTCCCATGTGTTGACAGGGACTCCACTATTTGAGCTATCTGCTGATAAATCAGGACTCAACCCTATGCAATCTGATATGGGATGCAAGCATCTTACCCACTTTGCAACATCTGGAACGAGGCCAGGCCAAAATCAATAGCCGAGTATTTCATCTGTGTCTCTCCTGTAGGTGGCAGGGACCCAATTACTTGCATAATTATCTGCTACCTTCCAGGCTCATTAGCAGGAAGTTGCATCAGAAACAGAGTAGTCAGGATTTGATCCGGGCACTGTGATATTGTGAGTGGATATCGTGAATGGCAGGTTAAGCAGTGTGCAGAATGCCCACCCAATATAGTTTTTTTTTTTTTAAGATTTATTTTATTTTTATTGGAAAGTCAGATTTACAGAGACAAGGACAGACAGAGAAAGATCTTCCATTTACTGGTTTACTCCCCAGGTGACTGCAATGGCCAGAGCGGAGCCTATCCGAAGTCCGGAGCCAGGAGTCAGGAGCTTTATCTGACTCTTCCATGCAGATGTAGGGGCCCACAGCTTTGGTTAATCCTCTGCTTCTTTCCCAGGCCTCAAGCAGGGAGCTGGATGGGATCCCCAGCATTTTAAGCAGTGGATCCACCATCACCTGGAGCTGATCCAGGTCTTATTCAGACTCAGTTGTTAGAAGAAGAAAGAGCAACTTTGGTGAAATGAAATACAACTGGTTTTCAGGGAGGAGGGATGCAGAATATTAGCTGAGGCTAATTGAGGGTGTTGGAAAGTTTGCGTTGCTTTGAATCACATGTTAAGCAACTTTGGGAGTCATTCCTTGTGCAGGTGCCAGAATGAGAGCCACTATATTTATGTGGTGATACTAGGACCATGATCAGAAAACTGGGGTTTCAAAGTCTGCTTTTTTTTTTTAAGATTTATTTTTGTTGGAAAGGCATGTTTACAGAGAGAAGGAGAGACAGAGAAAGATCTTTCATCCAGTGGTTTACTCCCCAAATGGCTGCAACAGCTAGAGCTGAGGTGATCTGAAGCCAGGAGCCTCTTCCAGGTCTCCCACACAGTTGCAGGTTCCCAAGGCTTTGGGCCATCCTTCACTGCTTTCCCAGGCCGCAAGCAGGGAGCTGGGTGGGACACAAGTTAGTGCTTGTATGGATTGCCAGCACCTGCAAGTAGAGGTAGCCATTGAGCAATAGCGCCGGATCCTCCCCACTCCTCCCAAGTCTGCTTTTAAAGTAGGCAATTTCAAGGTTAAAAAACAGCAGTTTTCAATCTAAGAAAAACACTTTTGCAGTTTGTTCACAAGTACCTTAAGAAGTGAGTCTAGTTTCATTGCCGGTAGTCTGTGCCTGGATCCATGTCTGCTGGAATTGTTTGTTGTGGTTTTAGAAATTGGCTGGTAGGTTAATTTGGAGGGAAGAGAAAATGATATCTAGACTTTTACCACTTGGAAGTACTGAAAATAAAGCTCTTCTCTCAAAAAACAAATGAAAAAAAAAATAAATAAAAGGAATAAAGAATGGTGTTTAGGTAGGTAAACATTCTTTTTCCCCTTCCCCTTAGTGATACTATTTGCTATCAAAGTTAATGTACACATCGCAGGTACTTAATACATAATAAATTTTATTTTTTTAGCTACATTTATTTTTTTATAACTCCGTAAATACAGATTTAATAATTGTTTTTAGAAAGCAAGTTTGAAAGCTAATGAATTTTAAAAATACTTTTTGTAAATTCTTTAATGAATATCTTTGATAAGTATCTCTGATTTATTCCCTTTTGTTTGATTTTTAAGTGAAAGGCAGAGTTACAGAGAGGGAAGGAAAGAGACAGAGCTTCTATCTGCTGGTTTACTCTCCAAATGGCCACAAGGGCCAGAGCTGGATCAGTCTGAAACCAGGAGCCAGGAACTTCTTCCTGGTCTCCCACATGATTTCAGGGGCCCAAGGACTTGGGCCATCTTCTGATGCTTTCCCAGGCCACAAGCAGAGAGTTGGAGTGGAAGTGGAGTAACCTAGGTTGAACCAAGTCTATATGGGATGCCAGTGCAGCAGGCTGAAGCTCAGCATACTATACCCCGGCACTGGCTGTCTGATTTATTTCTTAATGTGAATAACTTAGATTCTTTCTTTCATTTTTGAGTTTTTAAGCTCAAATGCTGCCTTTTATTTTATTTTGTTGAAAGTTTTTTTTTTTTTTTTTTTTTATTGGAAAGGCAGATGTACAGAGAGGAGGAGAGACAGAGAGGAAGATCTTCCATCTGATGATTTACTCCCCAAGTGACTGCAACAGCTGGTGCTGCACTGATCCAAAGCCAGGAGCCAGGAACTTCTTTCTGCATCTCCCACACAGGTGCAGGATCCCAAGGCTTTGGGCTGTCCTCCACTGCTTTCCCAGGCCACAAGCAGGGAGCTAATGGGAAGTGGAGCTGCCGGGATTAGAACCGGCGCCCATATGAGATCCCGGTGCATTCAAGGCGAGGACTTTAACCGCTTCGCTATCGCACCAGGCCCAAATGCTGCCTTTTAATAAGCGAAAAAATACTAGGATCATGCATTCTTCTGTAATAGTCAACATTAAGTACTAGAAGACATAATGCTGTACTCAGCCCTGATATTATCCTATTCCAAATGCCCCCGACCTTGAATATTAGGCATGTGCAATCATATAGGTAGATACCTTAACCACCAAAGATTAGATCTTTTATCTTGTATTGAAACTGTTTAGAAGAACTTTATAAATAGATTGGTCTCTAAGATTTTTCTTTTGAATTTTTGTGAGTAAATGGAAAACCACATAGTTATTTGCCAATAAAATGGCTGCGATATATTTCTTCTAACCAGTGAAAATATTAAATTTATGTTAATTAGTTTTGTAACTAATTTCAGAAATTTACAACTTGTTTATTAAAAAAATATTTTTCCAGAGTAACATGCTGTTTGAAGTATGACTAATTCTAGAGAATAGTAGCCTATATAATTGAATTTGAGTTTATGAATACTGTAAGTTATGTTATTACATTAATCATCTGTTTTACAGATTATTTTTTTATAATCCAATTCAAGCAAACATAGCCCTTATAACCATACCTGGTAAATGGAGTTAATATGTGTAAAAGTGGCTTTTCAAAAATCTTAAATAGTGTGACTTAAAATCTTCTCATGGTTGAGGAATCCAAGAAAAGGGTCTTCCATTTTGATCATAACTTTGGAGGCAACAATAATAAATATCCCCATATACAATATAAATATATACAATTCAGCTTAACAATGCTCTTGATAACCTTAAATTTATTTTTGTGTAATGGTGTTAATACTTAGGAGAGTCAGAGAATTTAGTGGACACTTAGATGTAAGAATCTCTATAGGACTCTTGGCGTGTCATCCAGTCAATAGGTAAATAATCATTTACGAATTTTGTTTTGCCAACACATCATGGCAGACTGTTTCATTTTGATGAAATTGCTGCCTTTTTTTCCCTTTAATCTCCTAGCGTAATAAAGAGGAAACACAAGAGTCTGAATTTCTGCCCTCAGCTGGAGGAACATTTAATATCTCCGTCAGTGGGGGTAAGCAAAGCATTTGTTCTTTTTTTTATTGCTTTTGTTAAATTTGAAAGCCAGCAGCTCTGAGTTTAAGGTATAGAGATTTTGCAACAGCTAGACTTAGCTATCACTTAGCATATGCGATCTGTGCCTGGGATCGCATACACTATGGTTCTATATTTCCCATATATTTCTATAGATCTCTTGTATGAATTCCAGCTCATTCTATCTACCAGTAGTTCACATTGCATTCTGTGTGTGTGTGTGTGTGTGTGTGTGTATGAATTGCTAATGTGTACTTTTTGTTGTTTTTAATAGTTGCTGTTTAACTTTGGTGTTACATTCTGGTTGCAGATATTGATGGTCTAATTACTCGAGCTTTGCTGACGGGGAATTTTGAGAGTGCTGTTGACCTTTGTTTACATGACAACCGTATGGCTGATGCCATTATATTGGCCATAGCAGGTGGAAAAGAACTTTTGGCTCGAACACAGAGAAAATACTTTGCCAAATCCCAAAGCAAAATTACCAGGGTATGTTATTTTAAGAATAAATAATAATATATTGTAAAAGCAATATGCGCATATTCTAGATTTTTGAAGGATAAAAACAGAACAAAACCCTCCATGATGTCTTTATCTAGAAGCAGTTGTTAGAAGTTTGACACAATTATTCCAGTTTCTGTTGTTACCATATGTAGTTTTTTTTTAAGATTTATTTTATATTTATTACAAAGTCAGATATACAGAGAAGAGGAGAGACAGAGAGGAAGATCTGTCCGTTAATTCACTCCCCAAGCAATCACAATGGCTGGACCTGAGCCAGTCCGAAGCCAGGTGCCAGTATTTCCCTCCTAGACCACTCCCACTCCCGAAAGCCAGGTGCCAAACACTTCTTCTGGGTCTCCCATGTGGGTGCAGGTCCCAAGGCTGTGTGCCATCTTCTAGTGCTTCCAGGCCACAAGCAGGGAGTTGGATGGGAAGCAGGACCCACCAGGATTAGAGCTGGTGCCCATATGGGATCTCTGCTCACAAGGCGAGGACTTTAACCATTTGGCTACCATGCTGGATCTAATACATGAAATATTTTTAAAAGGTTAAAATTACTTTTGAATTGTAGAAAAATTTAACCAAAAATTAAGAAAAATATTCCTATTCCTCTTCCTGTGTATTTTTAATTTATTTAAGACAGGGTCATAATCATACTTGTGTATGTTTGTATTTGATTTCATTTACAGTTTACAAGCATTGTAAGCATTTTCCCACATTATGTAAGATTGCTATAAAAATTTTATTACTGTAAAGATTTACTCATATTCTGAGTCTCTTCTGGCATAGAAGGCCTAAAAAACTTTAAGCCTTCTAATTGTTATTTTCCATATTGTAAAATACTAACTTTTGTGGATTCTGTTATCTGTAGGAATTAGTGCAGTGTGCTTGCCTTGGGTGCCATTCATCTCCCACGGCCTCATCTCATGAGCCTCCCCGGGGCACATATCTTCAACACACTGAGTGTTTTTCAGTTTCCAGCTGAGCCTATAATGCATTCCCCTGCTTTCTCTTCTTTATTTCTTTTTTTTAAAAATATGTTTTTATTAATTTGTTTTATTTGAGAACACATTGAGAAAAAAATAGGCAGAGATCTCTCATGTGTTGGTTTACTCTCCAAATGACCACATTAGCTGGTGCTGGGCCCGACTGAAAGCAGAAGCCCACAGCTCAATGAATGTCTTCCCCCATGCATGGCTGGGGTCCTCGTGCTCCGGTTGCAGGTGCAGTAGCAGGGAGCTGGAGCAGAAGTGGAGAACCTGAGACTCAGTTGCTTACACAGGATGCCAGCATTGCAGATAGGGCCTAGCATGCTAGGCTGCAACTCTGGCCTGGCTTGTGCCAGATACCCTAGCTTATTCTTCTTGGTGAGGTTCATTCTTGTGTGGCCCTCTTGTCACATCTCAGAAGTCCACATGCCGAGGTAGTTTGTCCTGATTCATCAGATCAGGTCCCATCTTCCTGTTCAAAGTTCTGACAGTCATCTCTACTCTTCTTCATATTTTACAGGTGTGTTAGTATAGTTTTGTGTTTTGTGTGAAAATCTATTATGTCATTTTGTTGACTCAAGGATGTGCTTCACTTTGCTACAGCTTTATTTGGCATAGAGTACTAGCACAAGTAATTATGAAAGATATGCTTGGTTAGGCAGGGTTGATTTTTGTTGATATACCTAAGACTTGTAATTCTCCCTTTGTTTTTCTTTCCTAAGCTCATCACTGCAGTAGTGATGAAGAACTGGAAAGAGATTGTAGAGTCTTGTGACCTTAAGAATTGGAGAGAGGCATTAGCTGCAGTGTTGACTTACGCAAAACCAGATGAGTTCTCAGCCCTTTGTGGTAAGAAATGGGCTTTATATTTACTTCACGTGCATGATATTATCATTGTTGTAAATATTAAATACAAATGTTATTGCAAATTTTTTAAGTTTGTCATGATAAAATTAACAAATATATCTGCAACAAATAAGAAAAGTCTTCATTTCAGTGTTTTTGTCAAAATTATTAACGTTAGTTCTCTGATTGTTAAAGTTTAAAAGCAATACTTTTTGGTTGTAGACAGAAACCAGAGAGTTGAGTTAGAATCTTGCCTTTACTACTTTTATCTCTGTATCACTTAGGAAAAAATAATTTCTAACCCTCAATTTATTCATTCATAAAATGACACATAAGGAAACCCTGATTATTGAATGCTGCCTGTTATCAATATAGAAGTAGAACACTTTAAAAGAAAAAGATTCATTTATTTATTTTGAAAAAGTTATAGAGGGAAGGGAGAAAAAGACATCTTCCATGGCAGGAACCAAAATATTTGGGCCATCTTCCCCTGCATCCCAGATGCATTAGCATGGAGCTCAGTCAGAAGTAGAACAGCCAGGACTTGAACTGTTGCACATGTGGGATGCTGACATTACCTGTAGCATCTTCACCTGGTGTACCACAATGCTGATCCCAGGAATGACAACCTTTGAATAGGAATTATTGTCATAGGCCATGTTTAAAGTGCTGGCAGTGGAATCAATATTATTTTTAAGAAAATAAGTTTTAATACAGGAAAAAAAGAAACAGGCATTTGCTACCTTAAAGGCTTATGAGAATATGAAAACAATAAGATATTAACTCTTTTCATAAATTATACTGAACCTACCTACCATTGGAAAGTCTATTCATAATCAATAGAAATAAGTTATGCAGATATAGATTCTTGTGACATGATTTATTGCATGCAGTCTGTCACCTACATGCATTCAGTTGACAAATTTTTATGAGCATTTAAAATGATTTTGTCTCTCCTAGGCATTAGTGTGAACTTTAATCCATACTTATGAGATTCTTAAGTTATTCACAGCCTCACATACAGATTGCTTTGAGTAACATCTTTGCTTTTCTTTGGTTTTCTAGATCTTTTGGGAACGAGGCTTGAAAGGGAAGGAGATAGTCTCCTGCAGACACAGGCTTGTCTCTGCTATATCTGTGCTGGGAATGTTGAGAAGCTAGTTTCGTGTTGGACCAAAGCTCAAGATGGAAGCAGTTCTCTGTCCCTTCAGGTTAGCATCTGAAACAAGTGGCCCTCACATTTTAGTGTTTTCTTTGTATACAATCAAGATAGATTCTAGACGTTCATTGTTCTAGAAGTTCATTGCTTTCACCCTAGTTTATGTTCTAAGAGTTTTTTCATAGTCAGTTGTAAGCATTTATTGCTGTCTTTGAAAAAGCAAAATCCATTATGATACTATAGGAAAATGGGGTTGCAGCAAAAATGGTCCCAATGTGATCACTTCTTTTTGCTCATGGTCCTGTCCCTTTGTCCAGTGGTCTTCCTGCCTTGGGCACAGAAGGAAGTCATGCAGGCTATGTAATAGAATGTATCCCCGGTCCAATACAGAATCTTCAGTGTTAAGGGATGAAGTAAAAGTGAAGACTATTTTCATTGACTTCTTAATTATGTTGAAGTTTTTTCCCTAAACATAAATCAGCCAAATTTTACTATGTTTCCTTATGATTTCAGTAACATCACTGTAAAACTACAAAGCAACTGGGTAATTAATTACATAAATCTAAAGGTTTTCCATCTAATTGCTTCTGGGAGAAAAACACTTGATTCACATTACTGAAGTTGTGTATTCAAAGGTAGACAGATAAGATAGGCCTGTCCATTTTCTGTGAAGCCTGGCTTGCCATGTTGAAGGGCAACATGAGAAATGTTGAATTAAACAGTGTGCCCATTTGAGGGTTATGTGCCTTTATATGTGGGTCATATTATAGTAGTGAGGGAATTTTTGGGGTAAATGGTGCAATGTGTGTAGATGATATGATGTTCATCCCCCACTTGCTAAAACCTAGTTTCAACATGCAGATAACTTCCTGTTATTCACTTTGAATATTTGCCTATTTTAGATTGCTGGGCAAGGATTTGGATGGTTAGGGGAAGGTGGTAACCTAGTCCTTATCCGTGAGTAAGAGACTTTCTTCTTCCTCAACTTTTTCAGTTACCTTAATAGTGGTCAGCTATTCCATGCCTTCCAAAGGGAGTTGATAATAGGTAGTATATTTCTAGTAGATTTTGACATTCTTAGTAACTGTGAATCTTTTCTTGCTTCCTTTTCCTCACATGGTTTTGATATCTTTGACAAATTCTTTTGGATTGTTCTTTCTTTTTCTCATTTAGGATCTAATTGAGAAAGTTGTCATTCTGCGAAAGGCTGTACAACTCACCCAAGCCATGGACACTAATTCTGTGGGGGTTCTGCTGGCTGAGAAGATGAGTCAGTATGCCAACTTGCTGGCTGCCCAGGGCAGTATTACTGCAGCGTTGGCTTTTCTTCCCGACAACACCAACCAGGTCAGTAGAATGGACAGTTTGTCATCATTAATGTATGAGTAAGATGAGGCCAGTAAGCACCTTTTGGTGCTCTAGGTAGATGGGCTTTTTTGGAACAGTTAAATTTCTATCACTCAACTGTGGGTGGATGTTAATGATAGTTCTTCAAGGATCATTTTAAGGACACCTGATCTGTGTTAGACAGGATGCTCTTGTAGTATGAAAGATCGCTTTGTGTTGAGGGAAATGAGTGGGGGAGGCCAAATTATTCTGAATCAAATTGCTGATTCTTCATGTAAGATTCTTTTTAGGAATATTTAATATTAGAAAGGTATAAATGTTAGTGAAACAGGTGTGATTATTAAAGTGTCTAGATTCCCACACAATATAATACAGATATTAGCAAGGAAATCTATTCTGTGTGGCACTTTCACCCTGCTTTAATTTCTTATTTCATTTATTTAAAAGGTATACACAGACATTGACACAGACACAAATAGAGAGAGTTCCCATATACTGGTTCACCTCCAAGTGTCTACAAGTCAGGACTGGGCCATCCTGAAGCCAGGAATCTGGAGTTTGTTCTCCCATCCCCATCCCCAGCCCCCAACATTTATTTTTCATTTGAAAGACAGAGTTAGGGTGGAAGGAGAGACAGATCTTCTTCCATTTGTTGTTTCACCCTCCGATGGTCACAACAGTTGGGCTGAGTCAGGCCAGAACCAGAAGCCAGGAGGTTCTACCAGATCTCCCATGTGGGTGCAGAGGCCCATGCACTTGGGCTACCCTCCGTTGCATTCTCAGGCACGTTAGTAGAGAGCTCAATGGGAACTGGAGCAGCTGGAAGTCCAGCTGGTGCAATAAGCAGTGGCTTAACCTGCTGTGCCATAGCATCAGCCTCAGAAACCTGAATTCAATATAGGACTCCCATACGGGTAGCAGGGGGCTAGCCATTTGAGTCATTACCTGCTAAATCCCTGGATGTGCTCCTTGAATTAGAAACAGAGCTGAGATTCAAACCCAGGTATTGCAGTATGAGATGTGGGTACCCTAAGCCTTATTGGAATGTTCCAGAAAGTTCCATCTACTCACATGCTACTATTAAGTGTTTTCATGACTGGCGGATGTCTGAATCCATTTTAATCTGATGCTATTTATAAGGAACAATTGCTTTACATTTCTAATTCATTGTCCTTATTTGGTGTATAATAAAGTTCAGGTTTTTTTTTTTTTTTGATTTATTTGTTTTACTTGAGTCTTCTACCCTTTGCTTCACTCCCCTAATGGCTGCAACAGCCAGAGCTGGACCACTCTGAAGCTGGGTGGCAAGAGTTTTTCCCAGGTCTTCCTGTTGAATGCAGGGGCCCGAGAACTTGAGCCATCCTCTGCTGCTTTCCCAGGCCTTGAGTGGAGAGCTGGATGAGAAGTAGAGCAGCTGTTCACAGACTGGCACCCAGATGAGATGCCAGCTTTGCAAGCAGAGATTTTGTCAGCTGTGGCACTTCCCTAGCCTCACTAGATTATTTGTTTTATTTTAGATTTATTTTTTTTTATTTGAAAAAGCAAAGTTACAGAAAAATCTTTTCTCTGCTGATTCACTCACCTACATGGCTTCTATTGCTGTGGTTGGACGAGGCCAGAACCAAGAACCAGGAGCTTTGTTTGGATCTCCCAAGTGGGTAGCAGGGGCCTGACATTCGTCTGCTGTTTTTCCAGGTGCATTAGCAGGAAACTCAATTAGAAGTAGAGCAGTCAGGAAAGGAAACGGTGCCCTGCCAGGATGCTGGCATCACACTTAACCAACTAGAGTGGAACACTAGCCCCCTGTACTTTTTATTATTAATGTTATTCTGGGTGTCGATGGACTTTTTAAAAGTTGTTTGCAGTATTTTGTGTGTTATAGGGGGATTATCATTAAATATCAGTGAATAAAACTACAAAACTTGATGTGCTCCAGGATTCTAATTGGTTTTGTAAACATTCAATGCTAGGATCCACTTATTACCTCTCTGAATTCTGAATTGTTAATGAAAATATTAATTTTAGGAGCATAGGTTTTTTTTTCTTTACAGCAACATTGCCACTACAGTTTTATGAGGAGGTTAACTTTTTGAAGTTTCATAACTTATTTTTTCAAGTTTATTATTGTATAAAATTCTCCTCCATGAAAGATAATACACATATCTGAAAGAGTTTAGGGGCTGACACTGTTGCAAGCTAATCCTCAGGCTACAAGTGCCGACATTCCACAGTAGTCCTGGTTTGTGTTCCTGCTGTTCCACTTCTGATCCAGCTCCCTGATTGTGGCCTGGGAAAGCAGTGGAGGATGGCTCAAGTCCTTGGGCCCCATGCATTCACTTGGAAGACCAAAAAAAAGCACCTGGTTACTGGCTTCAGATCAGCTAGCTCTGGCTGTTGCAGCCATTAGGGGAGTGAGCCAGCAGATGGAAGAGCTCTCTCTTTCTCTCTCTGTCACTTCTCTTTCCAGCTCTGCCTTTTCAATATAAATAAATAAATAAATAAATAGGAAATTTAAATGATGCCTTTGAACTTGTAGCCAACTTATAGGATTATCTAGTCTTTTAAAAAGATATTTCTTGAAACATTTTAACACATTTTTTTCTATTATTTGATAAATATTTAGAACGTGATCAACTCATACTTTTCTAAGTCTGTATAATTGTAGAGTTATGTGAGCCACAAATCTGAATCTTTCAATTTATTTCAAAAGTATTTTAAATTTCATTTGTCTTAGGTCACTTTTTTCATCCATTACTACCTTTAGCAATTGATACTCTCTTGGAGTCTCCTTTAGTGTATATTGTAAGTTAGTTTTGTAGTTTGGGAGCATTAACCACAAGGAAACTTCAGAAGAGATGCAGTGACAAGTAGGAAGTCATGCTATAATGATGTGAGCATAATTCAAACTCCTGCCTCAGTTAAACTAGAACTTACACTGTAGGTCATTGAATTCCAGTGCCGGTTGTGAATGTTAGAAATCATAATGGCAGGTCCTCAAATGTCAAGGTCTGTGGTGTAATACATATCGAGTGGGGTCTCCTGAATGACCATATTGCTTTAGGACTTTCAATATGCTGCTGTAGTTTGGGTGAATTCTGATAATTTGTTCTTGCTCCTTACAGCCAAATATTGTGCAGCTGCGTGACCGACTTCGTCGAGCACAAGGAGAGCCTTTATCAGTGCAAGAATCAGCTAAAGTTCCTTATGAGAGGCAGCCAGTGTCCAAGGGCAGGCCTGGGCCGATTGCTGGCCACCCACAGATGCCAAGAATGCAAGCTCAGCAATATTATCCCCATGTGAGTATTTATGTGTTTCTGTTCAAATTGAAAGTTTTAGTTTGTTGGACAAGACAGTTCTGATATGGTAAAAGTAGACCACGTAGTACCTTTCTTAGCACTAATACTTTTTAGATAAGTCAAAGTGACATTTATGATCTCCTTTTCAGAGTCATTGCATGGGGCTAGTACTGTGATATAGTAAACTAAGCCTCTGTTGGTGGCAATGGCATCCCATATGAATGCCAGATTGTGTCCTGGCTGCTCCACTTCCAATACAGTTAGCTCCCTGCTAATGGCTTGGGAAGCAGCAGAGGCTCAAGTCCTTGGGCTTCTGTACCCATCTGGGAGACCTGGAGGAAGCTTCTGGCTTCAGGTGTTGAATTGGCTTAGTTTGAGCTATTATGGTCATTTAGAAATTGAACCAGCAGATGAAAGAACTTTCGTTCTGTCTCTTACTCTCTCTCTGTAACTCTGCCTTTCAAATAAAAAATAAGATACATCAAAAAAATAAATCATTGCATTAATCTGGTCAAACAGATTATTTTAGCTGTAAATTAGTTTTTAATTCTATAGGAAATTTTATTTTTTATTATTTCTCTTTAAAGGTATATCTGTCTTTCATGATTTATTTATTTGAATAATGTCTGAAAGTGATAAAATATTATTCTGAGGTTGACAGAAAGGGAGAGACAGAGAACAAGATCTTCTATCCATTGATTCGCTTGCTGATGTTCACATAGCTTGGCCAGGCTAAATGCAAGAGGCTGAACTCCAGCTCAGTCTCCCACATAGGTGCAGCGGCCCAAGGACTTGCTCTGTCTCCCACTGTCTTCCCAGGAGCATTAGCAGGGAGTTAGACAACAAGTCAAACAGCCAGGATTTAAACTAGGACCGGCTTACCCACTGCATTACAGTGCCAGCCCTTGTACATCTGTACTAGAAATTTCTATTTGATTAATTCTATAAACTTGAGTACAGTAGCAGGAATTATCTTGTTAGTGACTTAATTTTGTATTTTTAGTAAACAGTCTTTTTGAGCATCTTTTTGTGACACATTAGTATGGGTTTCTTTTGTTGTCTGTATCTACACAATGAAGAGTATCCAGAATACACATTTTTGGGTGACTTGGATATTAGAGAAAAGTGGGTGACCAAAAGGTTTATGAAGGTGTAGGTTTTAGAGCATGTTGAAGGATTAACAGTTTTAATCTTATTTATTTTTTAAATTATCAAATGTTTAGTCACATAAAATGTGGCTTCTTACTGTGTTACTGTTTCATGTACAAACTTAGAAAAAATTCCAGAACAACAGAGATTCTTCATGTTGTTTGGTGAGAAGTAACTCCCCATAAGTATATAATGTGTGGACTTAACTGATAGCAAACCTAGTAAGTACCTTGTCTGTTTTAAATAGAACAGATTGTTAATAGCATTGGCAGGCATTTTGCACTTCATTGTAGTGAGAGTAAAAATACAATCATGAAATGTTTAAAAAGAAAAAGAAGTCATCTTTTTTTTTTCTGTTGTATTTTTGATTGGTAGCTAACCAGGATAGATTACATTTGAAAGTAACTAGAATTCTCTGTATTTTGTTGTTGTTGCTCATTTAATAAGTTTGTTGTGACTACCTAGTATTCTTGTAGTTGAGTGTATACTGGTGAAAATAATATACAAAAAAGAAAATGATATACAAACATGAATTTTCCTCCTTGCTGAAGATTGTATCAGACTTTCAAAGTCTCTACGGTAGGTGCAACAGAGCAGATGGTGTCTAGGAAAACTGAGACAGATCACAAGTGACCAACCAGAATTTCAAAACCCAGAGCTTGACTCTCTCTCAGCTTTAAGTGGCTGTTCAATGGCCAAAATATTAAATCTCCCAGGTACTTGTGTTAGAGCAAATGCTTTCTTGGAGTACTAAAGCAAGGCAACAGGGGGGAAGAGGCTTTATTTGTTTTTTGGAAGTTTGTCAGAGGAAGAGAGGGAGGGGGAAAGAAAGATTTGCTGTCCACTAGTTCCCTCCCTAAGCACTCAAAACCAGCTGAGCTGGGACATGCAAAGCCAGGAGGGTGGCAGGAACTTAATAACCGCTTGCACTATCACCTAGTATCTTCCCTGGAAATTGAATCAGAAGCAGAACAGCCAGGATTCAAATTAGCCTTCAGAGATAGAGGTGCTGGCATCCCAAGTGGCATCTCGGTGTGCCATAGCACCTGCCTTAGGACACTCTTTCCATCATTGAGTTTAACTAAGTCTTTGTGGGAAAAGGTAAAAATATTCAAAGACTTGTTCTACGTTGATACCAGTTGTTGAATTATAAATAAAGCATTTTTTCTTTTAAATTAAAACATACAGTACCTTAGATAAGTAAAGACAGTGATTTGTAGTTTTAAAGAGGAGTTTGCAGACAGGGCAAACAGGATGCCAGGTTAACAGGACTTCCACTCCCAATCCAGTCAGCACAGCTTGGCCTTTCTTTTGTGTGTGTGTGTTCAAGATTTACTTGACAAAAAAGATCTTAGTGGTTTTAGAGTTAACATTGGAAAGCACTGGACTCCAAGGTAAGTCGCGTGGTGCCATGTGAGAATCCAGGGCTGGGAAGCAGGTGACCCGCAGAGCACCATCTCTGCTCATGGTGGAGTGCGAGGCACCTTAGCAGACCCCTCGTTTCTCTTGCCCTTGCTTTCCTTCCTTCCTGCTAAGGAGAGGACTAGGCTACAGATTCAGCTTCAGTGTTTGCGGTGTGATTGTTAAGCCTTGTGTGGGACTAATGTGGTGTTTGTGGCTCTAATGAAATCCAGAAAAGGGAACTTCTGTCAGGATGTTTGCAGATTAATGGTGGCATGAATGCTATTAATGCTTCAAAAATCACTTTCTTAAGCATTTTTTTTTCTGCCATGTCTTCTTATCCTAGTTTTAGTATCTCACTTTTCCCATTTATTCTTGGTGCTTGAATGGCATTGTCCTCGTGCTTTGATTTATGTTTTTCATATTTGTGTTTCTTTTGCCCCACTCCCATCATTTTGTTATGACTTTGTGTTTTCCGTTTGGTATCCCAGCTACTTTGAAAACATTTGCCTGACTGATGCACATTATCTTGCAGCTCTTTTGGCCTTTTATCTGGCTAGTATTAATACCTTTTGAGGATTTTTTTTTTTCTTTTAACATTTTCATTTTTTATTTTCTGTGATTGGTATTTCTTTGTTCAATTCAGGTTAAAATTGCCCCTACTGTCACTACCTGGAGTAACAAAACTCCTACTGCCCTTCCCAGCCATCCACCTGCAGCCTCTCCCTCTGACACACAGGTATATCCTTCATTATTCCGCTTCGAGCAGGATTCTGCTCACCAAATAGAAATACATAGAGAGAGAGTTATATATTTCCCTACCCCCTTTCTGAAGTGCCCCATCCCTGTCTGTCTGTGTTTTAATGCTTCTGTGGTGCGAGAAGCAGTCTTTAGCAATTTCCTTATCCCTTCTCTTTTTTTGGCAGTTCAAAAAATGTCTTGAACTGGAACTCGTCAACAATGGTTTAAATGTAATTTCTCTTAGAATTTCTTTATCTTTTTTTTTTTTTAGCTTTGCAGAGTTTGAGGAGAAATAAAATTTTTCTTTTTGACATGCATATTTATAGTTCTAAAGTATGAAATAGTAATGGCAATTAGAAACAGAAAATCCTGGTGACATTATAAGTATCACTGACACTGTTTTATGAGGCTGTTACATCTTTGGCCATTCATTGCAGTTATTTTTTTGGACATGTCTGTTTAAAAATCATTTTGAGGTTATAAAATGCGATGTTGCTTTTGCAGTAAATTTAAAAAAAAAATGAACATGGCATTTTATTTCAGAGATTATAAATTCATCTTGTGAGGTTGTTGCTTCCAATGTAATCCTCTTTTTTTGACCATATTCTTACTTCCCAGGGAGAAAATCCTCCACCTCCAGGTTTCATAATGCATGGAAATATTAACCCAAATGCTGCCACTCCGCTTCCCCCATCTACGGGTCATATGCATGGCCAGGTACCACCTTATCCGCAGCCACAGCGTAAGTAGTGCAACCCTAATGTTCTTTCACAGCAGCATAGCTGATGTAGCAGCCATTCACTTTGGACAAAGTGCGAATCAGTTCTGCCCAGGACTGCTAAATCCCTGCAGTGGAGGAACACGGTTTCCCAAGAAGCATCCGGCTTGAATCAGCAGGCTGGGCAGTAGCTCCTGTCCTGTCACTGTGTTTGGAGCATTTGACTCCTTTGCCTGAGCCATCACTTGGACCTGTTAAAGAGATGCAGATGTCCCACACTTTTGGTGTAAAGAAATACAATTTTAAAAATTATACAGTGCAATCTTTTCCTTTAGGGAATGTAAATTCTTCTGGGAAAAGTGGTTCCAAGGGACATTTGCTGTTACTGCTGTTTATCCATTTTATTTATTTATTTTTAAAATAGGCCTGTTTAGAGCAGAAGTGCCACTATCTGCCCACCCTCCCCACGGTCCGTCCACCTCTGCTTCTGCGGTGGTAGATTCAGTGAAGCTGCGCTGAACCCCCCATTGTCACCCAAAGTCCACTGTTTGCACACATTAACTTGTACTCTTGGAATTGTAGATAGAGCTTCTGGATTTTATTGCTTTTTTAAAAAGTAGTTTATTTGTTGATATTTATTCTATGGGTTTCAACAAATGTAAAATCACATTATCCATTATTAGGGTTTAATTTTTTGTTTTGTTTCATTATAGAAAATGCACTTGGGAATATTAAAAACAAAATGTGCTCGAAATTTTAAGAGCAAAGAAAAAAATTTAAAAAGAAACACCGAATCTCAAATGAAAAAATTAACAAGACAATTTACAAAAATTACAATTAATTGCAGAAACAAGAACTAATCTAGATAACCACCATTTGTGTTAAAATAATGTTCTCACTTTCCATGAATGTAAATACGAGACAGTGTTTCTTTCAAGTGTTCAGTGTGAACATGTGCTTGAGAGTACTAATAGAAGCGCGTCACAGTTCTGCTAGGTACCTACCCTTGGTCATAAAGATCACCCTAATTTAAATTTAAGTCTTTGCTTTAAAACATTGGTTGGCTCTCTTGCTTGATTGGCTCTTAACCCCCTCCATGCAGTATGTAAATTCATTAAAGTACTGGCTCTCTCCGGGCTTACAGAATTGACTCTTAGTCTGGAAAGACCCTCAGATTCAGAATGTGGGAAACCGATGATTTTACAAGGTTTGGGAGAAGATAACTGATTCATGATAGTGTTAACGCTGCAGTTTTTATTGGGGACAGATCTTGAACTGCCACCATACTCCATGTACCTTTTTCTGTAGTTTATTCTGAGTAGAGTCCCTAGAATGATATAGCTTTTTGGGTTTCTGTTGTAGTATGAATAAACTTGAACTAACCAAAATTTCTGTTTCTTCTTCTTGATGTAGCTTATCAACCAGCCCAGCAGTATCCCTTCGGAACAGGGGGGTCAGCACTGTATCGACCTCAGCAGCCTGTTGCTCCTCCTGCCTCAAACGCTTACCCTAACACCCCTTACATCTCTTCTGCTTCTTCCTATTCTGGGCAGTCTCAGCTCTATGCAGCACAGCACCAGGCCTCCTCACCTACCTCCAGCCCTGCTGCTTCTCTCCCTCCTCCCCCTTCCTCTGGAGCATCCTTCCAGCATGGCGGGCCAGGAGCTCCACCGTCATCTGCAGCTTATGCACTGCCCCCTGGAACAACAGGTACACTGCCTGCTGCCAGTGAGCTGCCTGCGTCCCAGAGAACAGGTCTGCGCTTGAAAGGGGTGTGGTTTGGCTCCCTCCTTCCTTTGGTCATGAACAGCTGGGTGGATGGGGACATGTGTTATTTCTACCTGATTGTAAATGGGTACTGTGAGGTGTTGGTGGGGGCCTCATACCAAATTCTAGAACTGAAAGTGTTCTCATAATATCTTGAGCAGCTGAATTAGGAAAAATCACAGCTTCAAAATAGCAGAAAATATGTGATGTACCATTGAAAGTAAGCTATGAATGGGCACAATGTAGTGTTTGGAATCAGTCTAGTGGACACTAATTTCTTTTGTGTTTTCATGGGGAAAGCTTTGGTTTTTAAAATCATTTGCAACTTAAACTCATTCATGGAAGTTAGTACAGTATCTTAATGAAGTATTGCAAATTTTATTTTATTTACTTATTTTTTTAAAGATTTATTTATGCTTATTACAAAGTCAGATAGACAGAGAGGAAGATCTTTCGTCCGATGATTCACTCCCCAAGTGAGCATAACGGCCGGTGCTTTGCCAATCCGAAGCCGGGAACCAGAAATCTCTTCCGGGTCTCCCACATGGGTGCAGGGTCCCAAAGCTTTTGGCCATCCTCGACTGCTTTCCCAGGCCACAGGCAGGGAGCTGGAAGGGAAGTGGAGCTGCCCGGATTAGAACCGGCGCCCATATGGGTTTCCGGCACGTTCAAGGCCATGCCACTGGACCCAAATTTTATAATTTTATTTGTTAAAAATTCACTAAGATCTCATCATGCTGGGCTGAGAGAAGAGGAGCATTCAACTTTGACTGTGTATTGTAAGAGTAAAGTCAGTGTACAGTAGTAAGTGCAGTGTCCACTATGGTAATACTGCCTTCTTGAACATTTTGGAAATTTCCAGGATTTTTTTTTTTTTTTTGGTCTTACGTAGTTGTGTTTGAGTATTTCTAATTAAACTCATAATTTTGTAAAATTTTCATGATGAGATATATCTTTATTAATTTTGCATTTTATAATTACAGAAGTACCCGCTGTTTCAGTATGCGTGTACAGTATGCGTGTACAGTATGTAGTGATTGCTTCAGGGTATTGTCTCTCACTTCACTCGCCTGCCTTTTTTTTTTCTTCGTGGTAAAATACAGTTTTATACATTTTTAAATTCTTAATATTACAGTTAGAGCATTGTGTTCATTTTATGGATAAGGTTGTATTATCTGGTTTTCACTTTGGGGTGCTCAAAAGAGGCCTCAGAAGTACACGATATAAAAAAAGAACCCATCAGATTAGCACAAGAACCACTTCCACAAAAATTGAGTGTACAGATTGTCTGGGTTTGTGTTTCAGCTTGGCTACTCAGTATATGATTTGAGTAATTTCCTAAGTTTCAGTTTCCTCAGAGAATAACAGTAGTACCTATCCATCAAGAGAGATTGAATGTGTTAGTGCATTAAATACTTTTGAAGACAGCGATTGGTATATCAGAAGCACTGTTTATCTTTAAAGATTGATTGTTCATTTTGAAAGTTAAGAGTGAGAAATTCCAACTCCCCAGATGGCTACAGTCAGAAGCTTCGTCCAAGTCCGCTGAGTGGATGCAGTGGCGCAAACGCTGGGGCGTCATTCACTGCTTTCCCAGGCGTGTCAGCAGTGGTTGGTTTAGAAGTAGAGCAGTCGGGACACAAACCAGCACTCACATAGGATGCTGGTGTCACAGGCAGTAGGTTTACCTGCCATGCCACAGCACCAGCCCAAATAAACACATTTTTTCAAAGTTAACTGTAATGATAGAAAACGTTACTCAGAGCTCTGTGCATTTTAATATTTAAAAGAGGTTTCCTTTTCAGGTTATAAATTATGGCTTTGAATAGGTTGGCAAAAAAAAAAGATGAGGTGACGCTAGCTATTTCTAATTCCAAAGTTATTAAAGATTTATTTATTTATTTATTTATTTATTTATTTATTTATTTACTTTTGAAAGAGAGAGAGAAAGATATTGAGAAAGATGTTGCATTCCCTGGCTCACTCCCTAGGTGGCACAGCAGCCAAGGCTGACGTAGGCTGAAGCTGGGAACCTGGAACTTCATCCGGGTCTGCCTTGTGCTGGGGCTGTCATGCAGCGCTTTTTCAGGCCGTTAACAGAGCTGGGTTAGAAGCAGAACAGCAGGACGCTCATCCACACCAGTATGGGATGCTGGTATTGCAGGCAACATCTTTAACCATTACACCACAATGCTAATTCCTCTGATAATGTCCTAATAAGTATGGATATGACATTTTCTTTCCTTTGTGCTTCTTAAAGATTTATTTATTTATTGAAAGACAAAGTTACAGGGTAGGGTGGGGGAGATGAGAAAAACCCGCCATCCTTTGCTTTACTTCCCAGAGTCACAATGACCAGAACTGGGCCAGTCCAAAGCCAGGAGTCAGGAGTTCCTTTTAAAGTCTAATGAACGTTTGGTCCCAGAATTATACATGCATTTTCATCTCCTTTTTTAGTGTAAAATGTTAAAATCCCTAATAGTAAAAATCACACACACGTAATACTCACACTCATGAGTATGCTATAGTCATCCTCTGTTACCTGTTAGGAATATAGTGCAGGATCCCCAGCCAAGAACCACAGAAGTGCTGAATTTTGCATATACTATGTTTTTTCCTATTCATATAAGCCTATGAAAAAGTTAAATTATTTAGACATATTAAAACTAACAGTAATTATGAACCAGAATGATTATTACTGTATACTGTAATAAATCTGACATAATTGCTATTTCACCTTAGGACCGATGATTATGTAAAATAAAGGTTACTTGAGCTCAAGTACTCTGATACTATTGGCATGGTAACAAGATGGCTACTAAGTGTCTAGGGAGCAGGTTAGAATGCTTAGTACATGCACACTGAACATAGGGATAATTCATGTCCCAGGAGGAAGGGAGCTGAATGCACAAGATTCCATCATGCTGCTCACAGTGCTGCACAATTTAAAACTTAAAAATGGCTTCTTTCTGGAATGTTCCATTTTATATTATCAGTCCGTATTTGACTTCCAGTAATTGGAACTATGAAAAATAAAGCTACTATGTGTATGTGCACTGTCCTTTGTTACTCAGATAAATGTACAGTGATACACTACAGATAGCTTCAGTTGTTGCATTTTTATTTAAAGATTTATTTTTATTATTTTTTTATTGGAAAGGCAGATATACAGAGAGGAGAGATAGAGAGGAAGATCTTCCGCCGATGCTATGCCGATCCGAAGCCAGGAACCTTTTCCGGGTCTCCCACGCGGGTGCCGGGTCCCAAAGCTTTGGGCTGTCCTCCACTGCTTTCCCGGGCCACAAGCAGGGAGCTGGAATGGAAGCGGGGCCGCCAGGATTAGAACTGGCGCCCATATGGGATCCCGGGTGTGCAAGGTGAGGACCTTAACCACTGCGCCATCGAGCTGGGCCCAGTTGTTGCATATTTTAGAGAGGAGTGCTACTTCATCTCTAGTGGATGAGTGAAGATAGTACGTGTTCTGAATAGTTGAGTAATGTCACAGTAGATTAAGCTGCTACTGTGTTGCTGGCATCTCATAATAGAGCACCATTTTGAGACCCTGCTGCTCTGCTTCTAATCCAGCTCCCTGTTGAAGAGCGTGGAAAAGCAATGAAACGTGCCGCAAGTGCTGGGCCCCTGCCACCCGAGTGGGAAATCCAGATGCAGTTCAGACTCCTCTTTTCAGCCTAGCCCAGTCCCAGTCGTTAGAGGCCATTTGGGAAGTGAACCCTTGGATGCAGATCTCTCTGTGTCTCCCCCTCTCTGATGTTCTCTGTCTTTCCAATAAATGAAATAAACCTTACCAAATAATAATTGGCTAATAATCAGAGCTCTTAAGTGAAAGAGGTAGCATGGAAATCAAGGAAATCCTCACTTAAAAAGTGGTACAGGGAAAAAGGGAAGGAAATAAGATTGAGCTGATGTTGGACACTATTTTTTTATTGTTTTATATTTTCTTATTTATCTCAGAACTCGGAGAAATAACATTTATTATTTTTTAATTGTACGTGAGGAAACTGAGTTCCTTAGGGATTAAACTTATAAAATTTTCTCAGGTGTGCAATAGGATTGAGCAAGTTGAGATACAAACCCAGGTTCTTTCAGTCTTCAAAGCTCCTGTTCCTTCTGCACCAGATAGTCTAGTCTTGATATAGATGATGGAAAAGTGCCCAGCCTGGGGATTGCGAGAGTCGTATAGCAGCACCGCCCAGGAGTTTGTTACGTTATAATTTAGTGTACATATTTGCATGGGTGTTCTTTCTCTCTGTAAGCAAAACAGCATTTGGCTGCGCCCTGTGAAAGTTAGTCTGTGAATGCAAAGTAACATAGTGCTCTAACCTGGCTGAAAACAGAGTAAATAATAAGAAACCAAACATTTTTCAGTGTTTGGCATGCACTATACCTAGCTGCTCTGTTGCACATTAACAGTCTCCTGTATTTTATATTAACAGTTAATAGCTTAACTCTGTTCTTTTTTTACTTCCTAAGAATTTTGATCATTATATAAATAATTCTGTGTGAAAACATTGTCTTTGTTCTATGATCATGATTTTATTCAGCATTTCGAAATTCCAGTTGACAGTGGATAATTGCTGTCATAGACATAGACTTTTGGTTCTCCCATGAATAAACCACAAACATTGATTCAGTAAATTCTTAATGATGACCTGTTTGATCTTGAATTGGAATTACCCCAAGGATGGGGAGGTAGAAAGGCACAGTGCATTTCTATCGAGCAGCAGCTAAGCTGAAGCCTACAGTTTGTATCTGGGCTCAGTTTTAGGGAACCTTTTATGCAGGGCAAGAAGGGCAGAGGTTAGTAAGATGAGAGATTGTTGTGCAGGACTTTGAGCAGGTGAGTGGTGCTGAGGGAGCATCAGCTGAAGGGGGCTGCAGGGTGGCCTGTGGACAGCACACCAACGGAGCGGGGCAGCAAAGCTGGCTGGCTCTCCAGGGTCTGCGTGTGGAGTGGCCAGCCCGGGACAGCAGGGAGCAGCCTCTGTTCCAGGAGAAGTGGGCACTGCCCAGTTCACTTATTTCATTGATTTGTTGGTTGGTTAACTTTCTTGCCTCTGGTTAAATGTGTGCTCATTTTTAAAGGGAAAGTGCTTTCAAAAGTGAAGTCTCTAGAATTTTACTCAGAAAAATTATTTTCTAATAAAGCAGCCTTTGAAGTTTTCACCTATGCATACAGTCTTATACTTGTGCTTATTCAACAATTTTGAAGGGTCATAGTATTGCATGTTTTTGTGAAACAGTTTCTTAAAATTTTGTCTTAATTTTTATGAATTTCCCTAAAACTGTAGGACCTGGTTTTACTGGTTTCAGGTAAAGTGAATGGAGCATTATAGCCTTCCTTACTTTAATTTTATCTTGGGTCACTGAAAAATGGCTGCAACGATTTATGTCTTTTTACATTTGATCTTTGATTTTATGACTTTTTAAAAAAATACAACCTGCTGGCTTGCAACGATAGGAAGAGTTTATGTATAATGAGGATTCCCTATTCCTTGCCTTTCAAAAGATTATCTAACCAAAACTTACCATGACATTGGCATCATACTGAGATCCAAGGCAACTGGAAAGTATCTTAGCCACTGTATCCATCCTGTCATTGTATTCTCCACGAGTTCCTGAGAAGGTCCCTGAGAAGAGGCGTTCAGCTAAGGGTGGTGTGCAGCCCCGCACTCAACGTGCAAGAGCAGCAGGCCCCTGTTTCTTCCCAAAGAATTCTGTGGAGGACCTGGTCTCCACACCAGGGAGATGAGACTTCAGCAGGGTCCAGTGATGAGATAGGTTAATTCCCAAGTTGCCCCTAGATTTTTGTTTTTAAAAGATTTATTTATTTTTATTACAAAGTCAGATATACAGAGAGGAATATCTTTCATCTGATGATTCACTCCCCAAGTGAGCACAATGGCCGGTGCTGTGCCATCTGGAGCCAGGAGCCAGGAATCTCCTCTAGGTCTCCCACATGGGTGCAGGATCCCAAAGCTTTGGGCCGTCCTCAGCTGCTTTTCCAGGCCACAAGCAGGGAGCTGGATGGGAAGTGGAACTGCTGGGATTAGAACCAGCACCCATATGGGATTCCAGCGTTTTCAAGTACTTGGGTTTCTGCCACCCACATGGGAGACCTGGGTTGGGTTCCTGACTGTTTCAGCTCGGCCTAGTCCTGGCTGTGGAGGACACTTGGAGAGTGAATCAGCAGATGGGAGCTCTGTCTGCGTTTCTGGCTCTCGCTGCCCTGCAAGTAGATGACAGAGAAGAGAGGGAGACATGAAATGAGTAACCTTGACCCTGTAGCATCCCCAGCACATCGGCAGTAAATTTAAAAAAATAATTTGTTCTTTATAGAAATGGGTGGGGGGAAGGGGAGAAGATGTTAAATTAGACTTTGGAATGTTTTCAGTAAAACTATGTAAATGACTTTTACTTTTTATCTACAGAAATTCAGTTTATCCAAGACCAGGCATTTATGTTGGAAGGTGAATTGGTTGTAAAATATACTTGGTAATACCTGAATCATTAAGTACAATTGATGAATGAACAAAAACAATAATGCATGTAAATTTGAAAGCTAATGATCCAAAAATGTGATTAGTATAATTTTTATTTAGCCTTGATTCAGTAAAATTTGCTAGCTGATTGACTTTATATCATGACACAAAACAGCTTTAAATCATAAAAGCTGTATATTTTATAAAGACATAAAGGGAACAGCTTGTAAGATTGTCTTAGGTAATGGGACGAGGTGGCTGAGTGGTTAAAGCGATAGACTGCTAAAGATTATCTTAGGTATGGGTAAAAATAAAAAGTCATGAAAGAGACTTGAATGATTGATACCTGATCAGAGATGTAAGCATTTTCCAAGAAGCTGGCATAATTGAACTCGGAGTACTTTAGCCTGATTTTGTGTCCCACCTCCTGATAAACTTGTGGATACAGGGTGGTTAGGAGATCTGTAGTTTAAAAGTTTGTGATGTTATGCGTGAATCAGGTTCTTTGGCTTGCTCAACAATTTTGTGATTGGATGTCATGCATATCAAACAAATAAAAGTTAACATGCTGAAAAATAGTTTATTGGAAGAAGAGTAATTTGTTATCCTTATATATACACATGCACGAAACTATCTTTACCAGTTATCTGGGTCCATGATAGGACAGATTATAATTTGCACTTGATGAAAAATGTTATGATTTAAAATTTACTGTGGGACCAATAAAAATAAATCTTTAAAAATTTTTTTTGGCTTTGGGGACCAGTGTTGTGGCACTGCAAGTGAAGTCACTGCGTGCAGTGCTGGCTTCCTATATGCTTGAATACTGTCTGTCCCATTTCCCATCCAGCTCCCTGCTAATGTGCCTGGGAAAGCAAGGGAAGATGACCCAAATGCTTGGGTCCCAGCATCTACATGGGAGACTTGGAAGGCACTTCTGACTCCTGGCTTTGGCCTGCCCAGGTTTGGCTGTTGTGGCCATTTGGGGAGTGAACTAGTGAATGGAAACTCTGTCTCTCCTTATGTACCCCTCTGTAACTGTACCTTTCAAATCTTTTTTTTTTTTTAATAAAATGATCCTGTTTTCAATATGCTTTTTCTCCTTTGAAGACACTCAAGGCTCTAATATACTTAATAAATTCTTTCTATTTTTTAAAAGTTTATTTATTTGAAAGAGAGGGAGATATTCTATCTACTGGTTCACTTCTCAAGTCACTACAACTGTGCCAAGACAGAGCTGGCTGAACCAGGAGCCAGAAGCTTCATTGGGGTCTCCAACATGAATGCAGAGTCACAAGGCTTTGGGCCATCTGCTTTTCCCAGGCCATTTGCAGGGAGCTGGTGGGAAGTGGAACAGCTGGGACATGAGCTGGTGCCCATATGGGATATTAGTGTCACAGGGACCAGCTTTACCCAGTATGCCACAACACTAGCCCCAGTGTTTAGTAAATTCTGCTTCCGATCTTCATTTTTCACTTGAGATATAGGGGTGGGAGTTTGTGCTTTTTGGTTTGTTTTGATGTGTTCAGAGAAATGTACTATTTACAATAATTTCATTATATGTTTGCTGCCAGTCTGGAGGGTTGGGGTTTTTTTTTTTTTAGCATTAAAAAAAAAATCTTACAGCAGATTTTTTAGTAATCCTTCCATTTTATAATTCTCAAAGCAGAGATGATCAGAATTTGTGGTGCTGTGTAAAGGTTTGTTTTTGTTTTTAAGCAATGTTTCTACCATATAGAGGCGAGAGTATGTGCTTATTTATTCAGGTATGGTGAATGTAGCAGAATTTTTTTTTTTTTTTAAACAGACTAAGGTCACTGATTCTGCCCTTCCTGGGAGAGAATAGTAAACTGCTCCTTGGAGGTGAAGCATGTCGCCATTCATACATTAGCCATTTAAGTAGAAATGGTGCAAAGGTGGCTGGTCCCTCCACTGCAACCTGTGGTAGAGGTCTGATTGCAAGACCACAGTGCTACCAGCGACCCCACAGGCCAGTTGGTAAAAGTTTTATGAGGTTTATCTCAGAGCTATGTAGAATTTTAGAAATTAAATGATGAACTCAGTTTCGTTTTCTTGCTTTCAAGATTCTAAAGAAATGTTATCTTCTGTTGTCTCTGATAGGTCCACAGAATGGGTGGAATGACCCTCCAGCTTTGAACAGAGTACCCAAGAAGAAGAAGGTACTTAGAAAAAGACACCCATCCTGGGGCCCACAGGTGTCAGGCTCATCACATAGGCACTTGGAGCACATTACACTTCACTGATCCTTTTCAAGGCATAGTTTACTCACTGGTGTATTTACAGGGTATTTCAACATGGTTTTAGTCTTCCCTGGAGGGAAGCAAAGACCGTGGAAAACAGTATCATCTAAACCTAGCTCTAATGGAAGTGGTACAACTTGAATCCCTTTAAGAAGGCAAAGTGTCAGTTCCCAGCAGGCCTCTTCCAAAAGTAGGAAATAACATTTCAGGCTTCTCAAATGATGTGTTTTGGACGGCATTACTTCGGTTGTGGGGTTCCAGCAAGAATCATGAACTTGGTCATGATACATTGGCATTTTGTCTAACTGGATATTGTTTGAATACAGAAGTGATGGTGTAGCTAAGTGTTGTTCAGTTGTCAAAGTTATTAAGAACTTCATAGTTCTTATGATTTTCCTTTCCTTCTTCCCAAGCCATTTTCTACTTCTTTTTTTTTTAACTGTTCCTCCAAATACAGCCATGAGCACACAATGTGAAATTGAGAGACATGAAGTGCTCAAAGAAACCTAAAACAGACTTGATCAGCTACTTTGAGTTGTAAAATTGCTAAATATCTACTTTCTGGCCTAGGAAAGGAGTACCCTCCCTAGACACATTAAACACACAAGTGCGGCACATGCGACTCCAAGTATTCCCAGGCAGACTTCTGCAGACTTAACATTGCCTTTTGGAAAGGCTGTGTTTTTTGCTTCCCTTAATTGGGGTCAGTGTGGAAGGGCAAGGGCAGAACTGAGAGGTCCAGGTTAGAGCTCCCACCAACCTTAGCCATATTAATTTGTGTCCTATCCTAGAATTCTGCATGAAACTTCATTTGACGGAAGTTTTCTGTTGTGAATTTTTTTAAACCAAGAAATGGTCTAGTTCTCTTACATAAAGCTGAGAAAGTGTTGCTATTGTTTTTGTTTTGACTCTTGGTGCCCTCTGTTTCCATCTTCGCAAAGATGCCCGAGAACTTCACGCCTCCAGTTCCCATCACGTCGCCAATCATGAACCCCTTGGGTGACCCCCAGTCACAGATGCTGCAGCAACAAACTCCAGCTCCAATACCACCATCGAATCAAGCTTCATTCCCACAGCCACACCTTCCAGGTGGCCAGCCTTTCCATGGCATGCAACAGCCTCTTGGCCAAGCAAGTATGCCACCATCTTTCTCCAAGCCCAATTTGGAAGGTGCCCCAGGGGCTCCTATTGGAAATACTGTCCAGGTAACAGGCTGTGGAAGTGGAATGGGAGGATGGCTCTGTTAAATGCATTTTCATATAAAGAGGGTTATCTATTTGATCATTTACATTTTCTGCCTTGACAGTTGTGGTATATATTTTATTTATTTATTTATTTATTTATTTATTTTTATTGGAAATACAGATCTACAGAGAAGAGAGATAAAGATCTTCCATCTACTGGTTCACTCCCAAATAGCCACAATGGCCAGAACTGAGCCAGTCCAAAGCCAGGAGCCAAGAGTTTCTTCTGGGTTTTCCATGCAAGTGCAGGGTCCCAAGGCTTTGGATTATCCTCTACTGCTTTCCCAGGCCACAAGTAGGGAGCTGGAAGGGAAGTAGAGCAGCCAGGGACTCAAACCAGCACCGGTATGGGATCCCGCTTGTACAAGGCGAGGATTTAGCCACTAGGCTGTTGCACCCGGCCCAGTTGTGCTGTATCCTGACCTCATCAGTGACATCTGTCTGTTCATGAAAAGCAGGGAGCTGAAGCAAGCTCTTGCCCCAGTAAAAAACTAGTTCCGTTTGTCTTTTACTCATCCAATTCAGATTTGTCAAATCAGTATCTCTTTAACAGGACTGTGTTTTGCTGTTTTAAATATTTTAATTTTAAATATTAAAAGTTGAATTATGAAAACACATGGGAAAAGCATTGAGGTATCCTGGGTTAAGCCACCTATTGTGGTACCCACATCCGTTCTCACATCCTGGGTAATCTCCTTTGATCTGGATTCCTGCTAATGTGCGTGGGAGGCAGTAAATGATTCCTGTAGAGCAGAACATCAGTGATCATGGAAAGTCTGACCCATACAGGGAGAGATTTGCAATGTTCAGGCAGGTCCTGGAGCCAGCTGCCTGGCTCTGGTGCTGTCCCCAAGGCCCCTCAGCCTCAACATGTACAAACTGTAATTTATACTCTTACTTCCAAACAGAGTGTCAGGGTTTCCTGGTTCAGTGAGTGGGACCATTTTCATTTCTGTTGCTTCCAGCCAGAAACCTAGGAATCTGCCTCCTTTAAACTCCAATTCAGATTTTGAATGTACTACTGTAAATTATTTCTTGATCTTCTGTATGTTTCTACTCTGTCCCATGTTGCCCTTATCTCTGATCTACACCAGGGCAGGAGCTTCGTGATTTTTCTGTCAGCATCTTTCTTGACCCATTTAGAGAAGAAAAGGGGTAGGGGGGGAAGGAGAGATTTATTTATTTGTTTATTTGAAAACCAAGATCATAGGAAGATATAACATAGGCTTATTCCCCAAGGTCCTTCAACATTGGGGCAGTCCAGATCAAAGTCAGCAGCCGGGAGCTCTGTTCACGTCTCAAGTGGATGTCATTGTTAGGAAGCTGGCTTGGAGCAGAATAGCTGAGATTCAAACCAGCATGCCAGTATAGGATACAGATTCCTCAACAGCAGCTGTGCCACAACATGTGTTCCTATCTTGATCTAGTTCTAATTTGCTTTTGATTCCTCCTTACTGCAAACAGTACAACTTCCCCTTGTCATCAGGATAAAGGCCAAAATATCTAACACAGTCTGGAAGGCCTGCTTTTATTATGCTACTTCTTGCTTTCTCTGTTCCAGCCACTTGACCTCCTTTTAGTCCTTTTTCCTCATGCTCCTTCTTTTGGACATGCCATTTCTTCCACATTTAATTGTTACTTATCCTTCAAATATAATTTCCGAAAGAGAATTCCCATCCTTTCAGTCAAATCCCAGGCATGGCATTTTTCAGGTTTCACTGAGTGTTAATTTGCTACAGTTCCTGTTTTGATCATTAAAAAAATTTTTTTCCCATTACTTTGAGAACTCCTTGGGAACTCGGTGATTTCTATGTAGCCAGTGTCTGGGATATCATTGCATGATTTTTTTGTGTGTGAATGAAAAATGAACTAGTAAGCACCATGTATACACTCAGCAAAATCGTGGCACCTTCTCTCGTCTAGTTTGATCTTGCTATTTTGAAAATTACACAGTAAATAAGCTCTCAGTGAAACAACAAATGAAATTGCACTGTAAGATGATCAAAAAAGAGCCAGAAAAACAGAAGCCAGTGCTATGGGAGAGCCGGGTTAAGCTGCTGCCTATGACACCAGTATCCCATATGAGCATCCTGCTCCATCTCCTATCCAGCTCCCTGCTGATGCTCCTGGGAGAGCAGTGGAGGGAAATCTAAGTGCTTGGGTCTCTGCACACATGTGGGAGACCTGGATGAAGTTCCGTTCTCTGGCTTCAGCAGGCCAACCCCATGCTATTGGCAGCCATTGGATAGTCAACCAATGGATTAAAGATCTTTATCTCTTGCTCTAATTCTGCCTTTAAAATAAAGAAATAAACGTTAAAAACACACACACACAAACAGCCACCAAAGCAAGCGGCCACCCTGACCAGCCAACTGTGTTCTCTAGTACCCTGATTGTTTCCATTGGAGCAGATTTATGTCCATTGTTTCTGTTTGATAATGGTGAGCATCTGTTCCCTAAGGAGCTATTTTAAGTTAGTCCTGCTTACGAAAATCTAAGCTACCAGAAGAGTGCTTGTTACACCGTATATCTACAGTTCCCTTTTCTTTATTGATTCCACGTGTTATATTTTTATCTGATTTTAATAGACCTGTCTATACAATGGTCAGCTTTTCTCTACCTCATAGCTTCAGAATTTTATATGGAAGTGCTTCAGGCCATTTCTGATTATTTTACAACATCTCTTCCAGCATGTGCAGTCTTTGCCCACAGAAAAAATCACTAAGAAACCCATCCCTGACGAGCACCTCATTCTGAAGACCACGTTCGAGGAGCTTATTCAGCGCTGCCTCTCTTCGGCCACGGATCCTGTGTGTATCTTATTCTTTTTGGGGGTTATTAAAACAATCCTGTATGGGACTCTTACCTAATTGCTGCTCTAAGTCTTATAAGATGTGTGTCTTAAAAGTTTGTGTGAAAGTCCCCAGCCTGGCACTTATACAGCTTACATTAGAGAAATGGGTCATTGCTTTATGTGTGTGTGTGTGTGTGTGTGTGTACACATGAACACACACGTGTGCTTAGTCCTCCCACTAGCCCCAGTATAGGTAGATTTGTGCGTTTTGTTTTATAGATGAAAACAATTACAGCAAGGGGCAGGCAGGGACCATCTGCACTCAGAGCCAGTGTTGGACCCCTGACAGTCCCACTGCAGACCACGTGCCCGCAGCCCCTGAGCTGTGCAGTGGCTCGTCAGCCGCCTGCGTACTTGGTGCATACATACAGCATCAATATAACCGCATCCTGCTGTCACACACAAAGGTCATATATGGGAGTTCTTGCTGAAATTACACCAACAATCACCTCTGTAACTTTACAGGAATCTTAAAGTTAGTTAGATGTTTTAGATACTGGGTAGTTAAACCAGTTGCTTTTATTTAATGTATCTTGAGGATGCCTGTGTTTTGTCAACAACCAAAATTCCACAAAGTCAATATTGTAAATGAAGCTTTTTTTTTTTTGCCAGCAAACAGCGAATATATTTTTTACAGTCATTTGCTACTCGTCTGCTTGAACAAAACAGCTTCTGGAATGTGTTGTTTTCATCAAACACTGGGTATTAGTATGTGTAGCCTTCTGCTAGCCCTGTAGCCAGGAATTCCCAGCATGGAGACTGTCAGGAAAGCAGAGCAATAGCAGGAACCTTGGCTCCTGGCATTCGGCGAGGGCTGGGAAGACGGAGCTGGGAAAGGAGAGCATGTGAAGCTGAGAGCCAGAAACAGCCACTGTCCGCTGTGCACGCCCTGAGACCTAGACAGTAGGCTGCAGGGCTGGAGAGCTGCTAGGAAGAAGGTGGCAGAACTCCACTCCTGCTGCTGGTGGAAGTCAGTATGGAGGTGAAGAGGCAAGGGAGACGTGACCCAGCTCAGTAGCATCTTGGTGGTGTTTACCTTTTCTTTAGGTAGTCATAATATCTTCCCTCTGGGTGCCCAGGAATCCTGGGCAGAGGGAACCTGCAAAGACTGCTCATGTCATTCTCCAGTTAGCTGAGAGGTTGTTATGTCTCCTCAGCTTTCTGCACCCCCTCGGGGTACAGCTTCTGTTTGTAGCTGTGCAGGGTTAGTTTTGGGCAGGGACCATGAGTTTGCATTCACCAAGGTTCATTTGCATCAGTAATTAGAATAGTTTCTATAGCCTTGGTCTATTCTTATTTTCACACATGTTCCAACAGCACAAACTAACTTTCCAGCCCAACTGAGTCCCTGATAGTGTCAGTGGCAGCCTCGCCTTGCTTCTGTCTGCTCCTGACACCTTGGCACTCTTTCCTCAAATACCCAGAGCCCTGCAGCTCAAGGCCTTTGTCCTGGCGGAGCCCTCTGCCTGGCACTCATGCCCCTTGATTGGCATTGCCTGCTCTGGCTCTGTTAAAGTCTCTGTTCAGGTGCCCCAGGACTATTGGGCTTTATGAAGCCGGACAGCCGTAACTCGCCATCCCATGGGTGGCAGGATCCAAGGACTTGAACCATTATCTACCTTCCAGGATGCACCTTAGAAGGAAGCTGTCTTAGAAGCAGGGCTAGGACTTGACTGTGGGGATTCCGTATGGGGTGCCAGCATCTCAAGTGTGGTCTTATGTGCCATACCAAATGCCCACTCCCGCTGAAACGGAAAGCTTTTCATTGTTGTTCTGAAATACTTTCTCTCACTGTACTTACAAAATGAGGATGGGAGTAGGGTGGGCAAAGAACCTCTAACGAAAGAACTTTATAACTTTCTTGTTAGTAATCTGAAATTTCTGGAGTTCCCCCTTCTACTCCACCCCGGTTTGGTGCTTTAAAGGCTCAGAAAGGAGAATTAAACATGCCAAGTGTGACTAAGTGTGTGGAAGTACAATTTTGAAAAGTTAAAGCAAAGTTTCACAGGCTAATATTGTGGGACGGTTGGCTAACCCACTTTTTGGGATGCCTGCATCCCATATGAAGGTGCTTGATTCAAGTCCAGTTACTCTCTTTTTTTTTTTCTTAAGATTTACTTTTATTTGATTTATTTTTATTTGAAAGGCAGATTTTGCAGAGAGCAGGAGAGACAGAGAGAGGGGTCTTCCATCTGCCAGTTCACTCTCTAAATGTCCGCAACTGTGTGAGCTGAGCTGATCTAAAACCAGGAGCTTTTTCTGCATCTCCAAAGTGGGTGCTAGGACCCAAGGACTTGAGTCATGCTCTTTGGCTTTCCTAGGCCCTAAGTAGGGAGCTGGGTCGGAGATGGAGCAGCCAGGACTCAGAACAGCACCCATATGAGACTTAGCCTGGTCTGCTAACGTGCTAGCCCTAGACTACTCAATTCCTCTTCTAGCTTCCTGCTAATCTGAGAGGCAGCAGATGCTTAAGTCCCTGCCACCCATATGGGGTAAGATCTGAATGGGGTTCTAGGTTCCTGGCTTATGCCTGGCCCATCCTCAGCTGTTGCGCACATTCAGTGAGTGAATCAGTGGGTGGAAGGTCTGTCTGTCTGCTCTCACACATCCTCTTTCTCTGACTTACTATCACTGTGCCTTTCAAATAAATAAAAACATACAGGCAGGCAGGCAGGCATCAGTCCTTCAAAGTGTATATGGCTCCACAGTTCATTCACTTATTTTCCCCTTTAAAGCCTACAGTCTGCAGTTGCATCATTCGACCTCTTTCCTGGAATACTAACCATTGCTGCTTACAGGTACCTGTGGATCTAGCATAACTGCTCATCCCGCAGGCCAGTCTTCACCTGCCCCCATCCTTAATGAGCTCCTGATCTCTGTTATAATAATCTGGTCAAGTCTCCTAGTTGTGTCCGTTTCTTTATAAAAGGGAGCTGTTGAGCAGCTTGAGGATAAGGTGTGGTGAAATGAGATACAGCAGTCTTTTCTTGAGCAAAGTGACTGTCCATAATGTAACATCTGTTTTTCCTCTCCTGCAGCAAACCAAGAGGAAGCTAGATGATGCCAGCAAACGTCTGGAGTTTCTATATGATAAACTTAGGGAACAAACAGTAAGTTTTGGGGTAAAGGGGAGGATTTATGATAATCGTTGATTCTGAGTTTTTGCTAGTAACATGAGTGATACATCACTTTCATTTAGAATGCTTGGGGGCAAAGTTGCAATGTTTATAAAATGGCCTTTTCTCTGGGCCCTAAATTGTGCATTCTGTTCAGTGAGAATGAAGGGAGAGATGCATGCTTGCATGTGTAGAAGAAATTTTAACCCTTCTTAGAACTAACTAGAAACACAGACTGGCATATTTTAGCCTTGAGATCTCTGGCCTTCTACTGCTGTTCTTTTTAAACAATCCTAGATACACTAAGTCATCATGGACTAGGCGGATGCTCTAGTGTCCGGAGTGTCATCTTTCCTGTGATCCGCAATTCCTGGTCCTGTTCTTCTAGAATAGCTATTATGCAGAGATGAAGCCAGACAAAGCTACAAGCTGAACAGGACAGTGCGCTGTAACTAAAGGTAGCTGCCAGTAAGGAAGCAAAGTACCCTGTCCACTCTTGTCCCTACCTCTCTATTCCTTTCTTGAGTTTTTTCTTTTCTTTTTTAATTAATGAAAGCACTAGGAGAGAAGAGGGAGAAAGGCCTGGTGCATTCCTTGCCTATTTTTGCATTTCAGCATTCCTCTGCCCCATTCCCCACACCCAGTCCAACCAGATAAAAATAACCATGTCCTTCCTGAGACCCAGACCAAAGAACTCTGCCATCACAGTGGAAGTGGTGTGATCCGTGGCCTGATCCAAAATGAAGTTGTTTTTCTAAGAAAGTACATGGAAAAGAAAACTTGGTTTTATAGTTGTAAGAGATGGGAAAATCATAAAAAGTGGTTAAGAACTGGGTGAACTGAGTATGTGGCCAGGCCTATTGTCCCAGCCAAGTTCAGTTCAGGCACTCTGTTGTAGTAACTTGAATCCGTACTTTGAGAGAGCTTGATGATGAAGTTTTCATCTCTTTCATGACATAGGAAAGTCTGTCAAAAACTTTGACTGCAATAACTGGAGAATTAAAGACATTAGGCAGGCCGAGAAAGTGTCATGTCATTACAGCCTTGGGACTCAGAATGATGCTATGTAAGACAGTACCTGGCAGCTATAATGTAAGATTCATAAATAGCTCCCTTATGCAAATCATTGCATCATGATTCTGCTCTGTGACTTCACTGTTGCTTATCCAAGAATAATAATGCTCACTTCAATCCCCATTTCACTATCCAGCTTTAATGTTCATAGAGACTACTGCGGGAAATCCTCTCTTAATGTTTCTTTGGTTCTGCCTTTACTTCAGCTGTCACCGACGATCATCAATGGTTTACACAACATTGCCAGGAGCATTGAAACGCGGAACTACTCCGAAGGATTGGCCATCCACACGCACATCGTCAGCACCAGCAACTTCAGTGAGACCTCCGCCTTCATGCCAGTTCTCAAAGTTGTCCTCACCCAGGCCAATAAGCTGGGTGTCTGAAGGGACAACTTCATCTCCCCACCAATATTGCCATTTTTTCCAAAGAAACGTGTTCTAGAGAAATTGTATGACATGGACCAATCCTCATTAGCATGTTTCCATAGCAACCAGTGAAGAGCAGTTCCATGGTTCCTACAGCTGTACTCACTTTACACTGCTCAAAACCCTAGTGCCTCCTTTTGTTGTAACTTTCTGTTGCACATCTTGATTTTCTTGTTCTGCAAATAGTGTATTTCCTGGATTACACACAGTATGGTTTTCCAGGTATTCTGATAAATATGATTTTTAAAACCTCAGTTTACTTTTTAGAAAAACTGCATATGGTTATGCATAAAGCAGAATGAAAGCTAAATTTCTTCCATGTCTTCTCTACTTCCTCTATGTCAATCAAATTAAAGTGTATACTCCTGTTTCATGCGCATGTCGTGAGTTTTTCAGAACAGCTCTGTGCAACTGAGTTTACTCCCCATTCTGTCTTTTAAGCCTCACGATAGGCCTGAGCCAGTAATGGCAACCAGAAGCTACTACATAGGTTTTAGCAAATGGTATGGGGGAACCTAAACATTGTGTTCTGTAGAATGCACTGAGCTTTTCTCTGTTAAACATTTTCAGTGCTTGGTCTGAATTTTAGGTCCAATTCTCTACATTTTGTAGTTAGAAATTTATTCCCTTAAAAAAAAATTACCTGTGACTTTGAGATTTAAGCCTGACAAGAAAAACCTTAGTTCTAGTTGGCCTGCTGAGCAAAATCAAAGCATTTTTATCCAGTTTTTTTGTTAAATAGTTTTATTCTAACCTGCTCTTTAAAAACATTTATTTGTTTGAACTCAGTTGCAGAGAGGGAGAGAAAGACCTTACATAGACTGGTTCACTCTTCAAATAGCCGTAATGGCGAGGACTGAACCACAAGCTTCCTCCAGGTCTCCAGAGCACTTTGTGTCATCTTCCTCTGCTTTCCTAGGCAATTAGCGGGGAGCTGGATTGGATGTGGAGCATCCAGGGCTCAAACCAACACCCATATACGATGGCAGTGGTTCTGGCGGCAGCTTAACATGCTGTGCCACCCTGCTAGCCTCTAATTTCTTTTCAGAGTAGTGGTAGACAGAAGAGAATAATGCCCTTAGACTGCATGTAGAGACTTAAGTGCTGATAATTGTCGTTTTAACTACTGCATAGATGGCTGGGCTATTGAAGGAGTAAGAATTCATCAGGCTTTTCTGTAGCTGCAGGGAAATAGTCTGCGAGAACTCATCTCTTGGGCTGGAATGAGGCAAACAAGCCATCTACACTTAAAAAAAATCAACCAACCCAATTTGACATCTCACAATAGTTTTACAACTGAAAAAGAAAGTGCCTTACTGACACACATGTATGTATATCTTAGGCATGGAGCGGTTGGCAGCTCCACTAGGTGAAGGCTTGGCCTGGACCTGACACTGAACCACAGAGTCAACCCGGGACTCCATCTAGATAGCAGGCTGCTGGCTTCTACTCATTCTTTTCTACTCATTGCTCTTACTGTCACATCTGTTTGTGGCTGCATGTTTACCCTCTTGTCATAATGGGATAATTGGAGTCATTTTAGAAAGACAGAAGTTTGAGACTTTGGAAAGAAAGAAGATGAGAAGATTAGGTGGCAGGGGAGCCCTAGCCAAACCTTGGGGTTTCTAGAGTGTGCATGTAAGAAAACAGTTTGCCTGTGACATCCGAGGAGTTGTCTTCTTTTACAGTACAATGTTGTGGGATTGTCCCTGCTGTGGGGCCATTTCTTAGTGTAATTTATAACCCTGAGAAGTTTCAGTGAAAGGTGGTAAGATGAGCTGAACCTAAAATTGTTTCTGTCTCTGAAGTATGAAGATAAGAAATTATGGACAGAGTAGCTAGGTTTGTTTGTTTGTTTCTACCTGAAAGAGTTAGAGAAAGGAGAACAGAAAGACCATCCAAATGCTGTTTCACTCCCCAAATAGCCACAATAGCGAGAGCTAGGCCAGTCGGGATCCAGGAGCCTCCTTGGTCTTCCCTGGGGGTTCAGGAGTCCAAGGATGGGCCCTCCTCCCCTGCTTTCCCATGCCATTAGCGGGGAGCTGGATTGGAAGGGGAGCTGCTGGGACTCCCAGCCAGTGCCCATAGAGGATGCTGGCACTGCGTGTAGAAGTTCAGTTTGTTGTGCACAGCTGCGGAGTAGTTCATTTTTCTATACTCGATCTTAGCCAAAAGGCCAAGAAACAGTAGTAGTTTTTCTAAGGAAAAGTTTTGATTTACTTTTTAGGGAATAAAGACAGAATTTTGGAGATACATTGTATAGCAGGTTAAGCTGCTGCCTGTGATTGTGACATTCCGTTTGAGTGCTGGTTTGAGTCCTGGCTGCTTCATTTCTGCTTCAGCTACCTGCTTCAGCCTGGGCCTGCACTGGCCATTGTGGCTGTCTGGGGAGTGAACCAGGGGATAAAAGATCGATCGATCTCTTAAAATAAATCTTTAAAAAGACAACATCTTGGTTTTATAAAATGTTTCTGTTGGAATGTTTTCAACATGGACAGTATTGCCATATATACTGAGTAGTTCAGGAAGCTATGCTTCACGCTATTCGTAGGTGAAGACTTTAGGGACCATGCAGCTGATTGTTCAGTTTTGTTGTCACAATACCATTCTCTGTGCCTGTGTCATTACGTCATGTCCTGCCTGTCATTAGTAGTATGCATTAGTAGTATGCTTTAGTAGTATACATTGCATCACAGACCTCTCTGATTTTCTTATGTCTTGTTTTCACGTTTAAAACTACTGAAGTTTTGAATGAAGGAATATGAGGGAAACTGGTCAGTGGAACCAGGTGTTGGCAGGAGACAGGATACGGAGGTGGTGCTTTTTGACCTCTCCCTTCTCTGTGGCACTCTTGTTTTTGGTGCCATGGGTGTCTTCTTGTGCCCTGCCTGAGAGTCACTAGGAGTAATGAGAGATGTGGGTGGGGTGGAGGTTGTTCATTTCAATAATGTGGGAGTGGGAATAAGTTGGGAACTGGCAGTCTACATGTGAGCCTCTGGACTTGAACAATTCCCTTGTATCCCGGAGGTTGGGAAGATGTTGTGGGTACCCAGGCAAACACGTGCAGCCTTGCTTTCCACAAGTATCTGAAAGCTGGAGAGGGGAGAATGGCTGGCTACCATTTACCACCCTGGGTTTCACCAGGAATTTGGGTTCACCCAAGAACAAGTAACAACAAAGCTACCTTCCATCTCCTCTGCTGTGGAGACTTTCGGAGTCTATAGATCCCAGCAAACAGTATGTGCACACACACATGTCCCCTCTTCTCAGTTTTGTCTTTCCCCCTAGTGGGCAGCAGCACCCCCAAATCCCAGCCTCTGAATAGTCTGTAGGGGTGTCTCCCATGGATGTCAGTCTTGCAGTTCGCCAGGAAGTAAGGGCAGGGAGTGCTCTGTGTGCAGACAGTGTGAGCTGCTGCAGTTAGGGTAAAGCCCCCACATCCTCAACACAGGCAGAGCGCAGAGGAGGGAGATGCCGTCCCCTTAGCCCTGCTGTGCCCTCTTGCTGCTGCACCTGCTTCAGTGCGTTGGTAAACGTGTGTGCCTGGGTGCTGTGTTGTGTTCATACTATTCCTCCCTTACTTTCCAGATGTTTGCCTTTGTTTCAGAAGGTGTGGGCTATGAAGGCCTTGGGGTGATTGAAATGAATTTTTCGAAAGTGAATAAAATGAAGCAAATAGCCTTGGGTTAGCCACAGTGTGTATTTGTTTGCATCCATTACCAAAGATAACTGGGCTGAAGTGTTCATTTAGCAAATGACACTGACATAGTTAAGGCTGTGCCGTTAGAATGACTTCATGCAAGTATCATTATTCAATAATATCTGAGTTCTTCATTGTATTGTAGCTGTATTCACTGCTGAATTTTTATTTGGTACTAGGCTAACTTAGACCTAGAGGTCTGCTTTTATGGCTGACATCTTAAAATCTCCTGACCCTGTGAACTTTCCAGGGTTCCTTTTCCTTTTGTTAGCGGCCTAACATTGAACAAATGGGAAGCAGCTTCAGAGGTCTTGTGAGATAGAGGAAGGCTATTTCAAAAAGACTGAAGAGGGGATGGCATTGTGGTGTGGGAAAAGTTGCCATCTGCAACGCCATTATCACACGTGGGTGCTAGTTTGTGTCCCCACTGCTCCACTTCCGCTCCACTCTCTATTAGTGGCCTGGGCAAAGCAACAGAGGATGGACCAAGCACGTGGGCCCTGTCACCCATGTGGGAGATACAGATGAAGCTGAACCAATCCAAAGCCAGGAGCTTCCTCCAGATCTCCCACATGGGCCATCCTCTACTGCTTTCCCAGGTAACTAGAAGGGAGGTGGAGCAGCTGGGACACAAACTGGTGTCATACAGGATCCTGGCGCATACATGGCGAGGACTTGAGCCACTAGGCTATTGTTCTGGGCCCTGTGCTAGTATTCTTAGATTGTTCTGCACTTCCTGAATATTGTGAAGTACTTTCTATAGCTCATTAAAAACTTCCTGTCCCTACAGATGTGTCTCCAGGTAGGCAATGAAAATCAGGGCAATTATAGTGGGATCAAGTTTGAATAGAAAATGAGAGTTCTAGACTGTTTCTCCCCAGAAGTAACATGTCAGTGAATATAATCTATAATTTAAGAGTGCCCATAATGTTTGTGTGTGTGTGTGTGTGTTTTATTTACTTTTTAAGATTTATGATGTATTTTTATTGGAAAGTCAGATAAACAGAGGAGGAGAGACAGAGAGGAAGATCCGTTTGCTGATTCACTCTCCAAGTGGCTGCAATGGCCAGAGCTGCACCAAAATGAAGCCAGGAGCCCAGAGCCTCTTCTGGGTCTCCCATGTGGGTACAGGGTCCCAAGACTTTGGGCCATCCTTGACTGCTCTCCCAGGCCACAGGCAGGGAGCTATATGGGAAGTGGGGCTGCCAGGATTAGAACCGATGTCCATATGGGATGCTGGTGCATGCAAGGCGAGGACTTTAGCTGTTAGGCTACCGTGCTGGGCCCTATTTACTTTTATTGAAAAGATCAGATTTATGCAGAGAAGGTGAGACAGAAAGATCTTCCATCCGCTGGTTCACTTCCCAAATGACTGCATCAGCTGGAGTTGAGCCAATCCCAAGCCAGGCACCAGAAATTTTCTCTCCATCTCCCATGCAAGTGCAGGGTCCCAAGGCTTTGGGCTGTCTTCCACTGCTTTCCCAGGCCACAAGCAGGGAGCTGGGTGGGAAGTGAAGCATCTGGAACACAAACTGACACCCGTATGGTATCCTGGTGAGGATTTAGCCATTGAGCCATAGCACTTGGTGACCAGTAAGCATGTTCTAATGAGTGACAGAAAACCTTTGCACCCTGCAGTCTCTCCATTCAGGTGTCTGCCTGCTGGAGGA